CTGTGGCATAGCCTGAGTTTCACATGTGCACCTCTAAGAAAGAGTGCCAGACAAGCCTGAAAGGCTTCCACTCTTTTCACTGAAAGGCACGCTCTGAACTCTGAGTTCAGGGACAGACCAATAAAAGTGATAGTTTGCACAGGGGTTAAAATGCTCTTCTCCCTTCTATCAAAAATCTTAGAGCTGTCAGATGCGATGTAAGCATCTCTGCATGCATCATGAGCTCCACTGGGACTGCTCTGCTCTATATAAGTTGCCAGGCATACGCCTTTCTCCCTGAGAGGTGCGACTGCCACCTCAGCTTTAAATACTGACATTTTTGACCATATAAAAAGCAGCAGGGTGCTATGGACGAATGTAAACAAAACAACAGTGGAAAAACGGCGAAAGAGATGTGCGTCACAGTGAAAGTGAGGCTGCAGAGGGGGGCTAACTGCGGAGCTAAAGAGAGATCCCCACAAAACACCGCTTCCATCAATGCTGCTCTCCAACGTCCGCACGTTGAAAAACAAAATGGATAATCTCCGACTCGAACTCTCTTCAAAAAAGGACATATGTACCTGCCATCATTCTGACAGACAATGCTATTAGCCTGAAGGGGCTAATGCTATACTGCGCCGATAGAAACAATGAGCTCTGTGTGAATGGAAACTCCTCTGAGACTGTTCCCAGGCAATCTTCAACATCTAGAAGGGAAGCAAAGCCCTCTGCGGGTGAAAATGAGGAGAGCACTCTAGATGTTCCCCTGCCAAATGCTGAAACATCCCCAGCCGGCTCCTCCCGGCCCCCTCCAGCTTCCACACATTCTCCAGCATCGTCTGTCGGTGCTTCAACAGCGTCAGCCTCTTCAACCCAGGTGGCTACCACCCTTACAGCATTGTCATCATCATCCTCTTCCTCCCCTGAGCCAGGAGAAGCGAGTGCTTCAGGAGCTGGAGGCAGTAGTAGCAGCTCAACAACAACTGATGGGGTGAAGCCCAGGCAAAAAGGCCCCTAATGCTCCAGCATCAGATCCTCTTCAACCAGGCTAAAAATCCTATTTGTATGGTAAGATCCTATCCAGACCCGTCTGACATCACTGCTGCCAAGCAAACATCAATTATATGCATTCCATAACTAGATATAGTGACTTAATATCAAAATGGATTTTTTTTTTATCACCGCTGCTTACCTCATCAAGGCTGCACTTTAAAAAAAACGAGATTGTCTAGAGAGCTATTCTTAACTAAATTTCTTTTTGTTTACACTTGTGACAAAATAAATCTGTCTAAGTCTAAATTTATTAATAGTGCATAAGGACTATTATTAAGACAGGTCAGCACAGATACAAAAAGAGATTTTCATATAATCTTGACAAAAAAATATTTACTTTTTAATTAAAACCATTAGATTAATGTTGAAAACTTTAACGATTCTAACACTGAAGTCATCATAATAATGCTGAAACAATTTTAGTGAGTGACCCATCTTTCATATCTATCATGATGCTATTATATGTGCTTGTTGGCTAACTCAAATGTTGCTCAGAAACACAGTTTAATGAGAGCCCGCCTTACCAGGTGTTATCTAAAACACATGCACAAAGCTAACAGTCCACCTAAAAGCTTGATTTTAGCTAGTAAAATAGTAATGAACCAGCTAAATCATGAGCCTGCTCCAATGAGCAGTTGTCTGAGGTTTGTGTGTGTCTCCTGTTGACCCACAAGTCCTAGTAAACTCTTACCTTACAGCTACACCATGTACCAAAAGTAGACCACTTATTGACATTGTGATCCCTTGTCTTGCATATTTCTTTTCTCAGGAAGGGCCTCAGGCCAGTTATGCATAAATCAATAAAATTCCTGTTCTGTTGAGTGGTGTTACACCGTAAGCGTGTATGTGCACATGTCTCTCTGTGCATATGTCTTGTAGAACAAGCGGTTATGGATGTAGGATACATAAAACATAACAATCAGTCCCTGATTAGCCACTTACTTTACAATGTGATCAATAACCTGTAGGGAGACGCACACCATCAAAACCATGGCAAATGCATCAACACACATAGAAGAAGATCTCCTTCCTTGTCTCATTATGTCTGCCACCATGTGTGCGCAAACATTTAGTCATGTTCTTCGGTGTAATTCCAGCAGTTTCACAGATGTTGTCTCCTCACTTACAGCAGATGGTAGCTGACTCTAATGGTCCAGGCTTATGTAAGGGACATTTATCAGTGCATCTGCAGCATGTTTAAGTACGTCTTACCAGACACACAACTCAATATTATAATACATTTCACCAGAAAAAGAGTCTGTTTCAGGAGAACTAAAGATGTTAATTAAATAAATTTTGACTTACAGTTGTATGTTTAAAAAACTGACTATAATATATATGTAAGATACAGTAAATCAACTATTTATATTGCAATACAGATCATATCAATAATATAATAAGCTGATTTAATTAAAATATAAGCCCCTTATTTAGCTACAATATTGGATATAGTGTAGTATAAAATGTGCAATTACAAAGTCTGAATACCCAGAGGGGAAGCACATACTATGCAGATTGAAATGAGATAAAACATAGAAACAAATAAGAAAGCAAAAACTCTACAGAACAGCATGCCATTATCATTTCTTACAGTGGAACCAAGGGACATCTTTGGAATAAGATGAAAGTAAACCGTGGCAACAGATGTGGCTGTTAAAAATACACTGAATGAGTCAACTGGGTACAATATGCCATACTGAATTGTACAGTATTACAGTCAAGAGAAGTCTTTGAAATCACTTGAAATAAACTCTGTCACTGTGTCAACAGATGTAGCCATTAAAAATACATTTAAACAGCCAACCGATTACAGTGGAAGAGATCTTTCATTGCTATACACATGAGGAATTACTATTTGAGCGACACAAATACTTAAAATGTAGCGCTGAACAGCTTGTTCAAAGAAATCTAAGAGCATGCATTTATTGACAGTTTTTAGTATCAGTTTTGCCTGTATCTGATCTTTAAAGAAGGAAATGCAGAGCCTCTAAAATATCATGTGCGCAGTTTTTTATACTCCTGTGATACTATGTGTTATTGTGAATTTAAAAAAAGATGGAATAAAAGTATAAGCTGTGTAAATATGGAAGGTTTTGACAAATTTTTTATAGGCAATCTAATAGGGCAATTAAATAAGCTTAAAACCTAAATATAATCTTATGTATTCCCTTTGTAAATTTGAAAAAAATGGAAGTTAATCTAAATTCTACACATTATTCATCTACAGAGAAGAACCAGAGACACAAACTGTGTGTTTCTCTAACTCTGTGTGTGTCTGATTCATGACCAGCAGGAAGTGTGTGCTACGCCACATTTTTCTCTTTGTAATTAACAGTAAATTGTTTTTACTGCTGGCACCATAATATCCCCTCTGGTTAGCATGACCAATGCTGTCACCACTCAAGCATGCAATGACTGACTGCCCCCTAAACGTGCTAGTGTGTATGTGTACAGGTAAGAAGCATTAATATCCTACATTGCTATATAGCAGGAAAAATTTTGTCACTTTTCATGATATCAGTATTCCCGTATTTGATTTGCTATATACCTTTGTGGTTTTTGGGGGATAATTTAATACTTCCATGTGCTCAAGTCACACTCATTGGGGGAGTCGACAAGACACTCTTTACAGGCTCAAGTTCCTTTAAAATGTTTTAATGTTTTTAGATTCATCAGTGGTGGAAAATAATTTCCATAGGATTTAAAAACATCATCATCAATAGGCCTGTCAAGATAACAAATTTTGCTGAACGATTAATTGTCTCAAACATGATTGCGATAGAATGATAATATTGTTTGAAGACCTTTTTACACTTATTCAATGGAGATAACGTAATAATGCATGCTATTCCTGCCAAAGATAAACACACTTTATTTTCAACAACACTTAAACACTGGAACTGGTAAACAAACTAAAAAGAGAAATAAAAATCAAATGGACTCTCAGTCTCTGTTAACTAAAAATACACTTGAATAAAAACTAAACACAAGATAAAACCACAGTGGAAATAAAAACTACAACATTTTTCGAAATGCCAGCTTTTCAACAATATTAAATGGGAGCATCCATTTTGCAAATTAAATTAATTATGCTGTCTGTGAGTGTGCGCCACTTTGCGCTGTCTTTTTTGTATGCTGCCTGTCGATTAATTGCTTCAGTGATGGTGGACTGTCGTGAACTTAAAGACGCAGACGGGCCACCGCTTAAAGTTTTTGTCCCGTGCTGGAGAAACTTTGCTGGGTGGCTGTGCTTTAGCTGTATGTATTGGTTGGTTGTATTGCTGCTCTTAGTTGCTACTGTTTTATGACAAATGCGACATACTGGCTCGCATAGGTTCATCGGTTCGCCTCGGTCATTTGGTTTGAATCCGAAATACTCCCACACTGCCGCTGTTGCGTTCAGCTTTGAAACGAGTTCCATTTCGAGCTTTTCCCCCAAACATAGGATGTGTTTTTTGTTTTTTTTATCACGCCTCCTCACGGGGCTCTAAAGCTGCAGAAGTGGAAAATGATAGTCCACTCCTCCTTCCTCCTCATTTTTTCCCTTTCTAAAAAATTATGAAGGGGAGGGGTCAGTGGATAGCACCGGAGTTAAGCCTTTTAATCCAGCATCATCAATAGAAAGAGAAAAATACAGGCAGAGACGATATAGCCGATAAATTAAATGACGTGGATAGTTTTTATTTATTGTGTGATTAATTGATTTATTGATTATCGCGACAGGCCTAATCATCAAATTTAAAATGGTAGAAAATGTCTAAGCTTTTGTTGTTTAAATCCTTTTTAATTTCTTATCCAGCTTTTAATCAGTGTTAAAACTCAGAGTTTATAACTTATAGATCTTTAATAACTAAAGCCTAAATGTTTTTCATAGAAAGAAAATTTTAATCAATCCATCACCTGACAAAATAACACCCGAGAAGTATTTGATTCTTTTAGTAAGTTTCTTTAAATACATCTTCTCCTACCTGCTGGTAAGGTCCGCCCTGAGCTGGGTGTACTTGTAATGCAACCCATTCTTGTGCACAGCGTGATAGTGAAGTTGTACACATGGTACGGTTTCAATCCTTGAACGATGTAAGCAGGCAGTGATGATGGCCCCATTCTATGCAAGACCTGGAAACAAAATATGAGCATTCATAAAGGGATGAGCCAATCAGAAAATTTTAAAGAATGTACAAAAAAATGAAAGAAGAGCTACATAACGAAACACTAACCCTATTCTGACAAATATTTTATGAAAAATTAATATTTGGTAAAAAAAAAAATATGCCTTGTTTCCGTCATATCTCATATATATATAAGTACTTGTGGGCAAGAGCTCACCTGACTGACAACAGGAGGAGCATAGGGATTGGAGAATTGCTCAGTTAGTAAATTGACTCTGTACTCCGTGACCTGCCCTCTGGCAATGATGCCATAACCCTCAGTAGAGTTCCATGTAATGTTGAGGCAGCTGGATGATAGTGCAGATACATCTGGAGGAGCCACAAACTCTGGGACTGGAGAGGGACACCAGAAGATTTCCACCATGAGTTACAGCAAACTGGAGCAGGTAAAACATGCTAACCAAACATTTAATATTTTATCTATTTGAAAAACATACTTCTTCTTTCAGTAATTTAAGGTTATGTATTATAGAATCCAAATATCGCATCATTGCATTTTCAAACTGAGATTTCATTAATCATTTAATACAAGAAAATTCCAGCAAAGATACTACAACACTGCCGAACCAGATGTCTGTCATTGGATTTGAGTGTTGAACAATTCTATGGTTGTGATAGCCACAATTACACGACAGATTAAAGAGGTAAATTCTTTATTTCACCAATGATGGCATCAAACTGTGAAATATGCTATGAAATTTGATTTATGGTCAACACAACCACTGTTAGATTTTTTACCATCCACAGTGCATATGCACGTGCTACAACCCTGGCACGCATTTCACATCTAAATCATGTTATCATATGCTTGTTATCCAGACACATAGCTGAGAGTGATGTTGGAGGCAATCATTTAGTCCTAATGAGCCATATAATCTCTTTGAAATTCAAATACCTTAATGAGTTTCCCCTCCTCCACATGCACTTTTTTTATATCCCTTTCTTTTTTTTTTTATCCTTTTGACAGTTATCCCTCGTTTTTCTTTTTACTTTTTGGTTATTATTCTTCATTTTTTGCCCCATATCATCAGGTAAACAAATGACTCCTCCATAGTCTAAATTAACTAAATCATCAAAGTAAAGTGCTTTACAAAGAGTGAATTAAAAATCGTATGGCTTCCTTTTGTGGTAAATAATTTCTGAGAGGAGCCTAACATTCCAGATTTTTCTTTTTTTATTTGAGGATATTTTCTCACATTTTGATACCAAAAAAAAATCAGTATGCGTTTTGTTGAAAAAAAAACCAAAACACTTCAGTGTGGACATATTTTAAACTGCTAATGTCTCATTATTTGTTATCATTTAATAAAACTTGATGCAAACACTACTCAGATGAGGACTGAGCTAATAATAAGCCAGTAAGTTTAACTACTTAGGTACTGTGAAACAACTCTTAGGAGATGAAAGGTGTTTTTTTAACCGGATTCCTAAAACATGATTTAATAATCATGCTTTAATAAAAGCAAAACAATTCTTAATGTCTTTACTTTCCCCTCACGTTCTACTAAATATTAGACATACTGCTTTGTATAATGTATATAATGCTCTATTGAGTATAGAAATAGATGTTTAGACCCAATGCCAGAAAGATAAAGCAGTGAGTACAAACCTCCCTCCAAGGTGTGTGCAGTGGTCCAATCCGATGAAACATTTCCAGCACTGTTGATGCTAACAACTCTCAGCTGATAAACTGAAAATGCCTGAAGACCCTCTATGATGGTACTATTTTCAGGGGCGGACAATGAACTCCTCTTGGCTGGCTTTGGTTGTGGGACGACACTTGGATCCAGCCAACCAGAGCTGAAGAAAACTCTCCTCTCAGAGTTAAAACTTGACACTTGGTTCATTTCCAAAGGCCCACGGAGATACAACTCATACTTTGTAATAACACCTGTGGCAAAAAGTAAAAGTCAAATAAAAGCAAAAGAAAACATGTTAACAGCAAGGATTCTTTCTCAAATATCCATCACAACTTGGAGACTGAATTTCAAGCTACTTTTACCAGGAGAGAGATTGAGGTTCACCTCAAGCAGCTGTCTAGAGCAGACTTATAATGAATTGACAAAATATATAAACTTAAGTGACTTGAGATACGCAGGTATTTGAAAGATAGCTGATGCTTTGTGACATAAAATGTATAAAAAGAGATAACAATATTTTAACAAACCAGTTTGTTACTTTAAATAAGTAGAAATGACTTTATATTCAGACGTTTACATGTGTTTTCTTGTCTTTGGTAGAATTTCCTACTAAACTGCTTAATAAATAATATAAATGGAACTAATTCTTATTCATATAAAGTCAGGCTATTTTATTGGTTTGTCTAAAAAAAAAAGGGGCTGACTAACTTTGTCACGCATTATAAAAATCCAGATTTGTTAGATAGCTTTAATAATTACTATATCTTAATCATTTTTTTAATTTTTACTTTTTAGCATTTTCTACACTAATGTCATTCGATAACCAATCTGGATTCTCCTTAAATAATGATTTATCAGTTAAGAAGAAGCATAAAAAAAGCCTCTTACATGTATTTTTTCCAAGTACTGTCCAGCTTATTATATCTGATTGAACTTCATTTTCTTTCAAAATATAGTAGTTGTCTATGTCAAGTTATATCCCATCATTTAAAGACATAAAACCAAAGCAAACCTCCTCCATAACGTTACTTAAATAAAATAGACACATTTTTCCTCCATCAACACCATCTTAACAATTCAACATTAAAGGTGCACATTAAGACTGAGTTTATCTTAGAAAAATAATTACAGGGAGGAAGACATGCTTAAACCAATACTGGAAAAACACAGAAAACAAAACGAAACATCTAATGCGAGTTCACAGCAGTTTGGGGGGAGATTGATCAATAACAGCAAAATGATGAGAAATGAAAACTGGGAAAAACTCAGATTGTACAGCTATGTTTGCCTCAGAGCCTTAGAGCCATTACAAAGCTCTCTGGATTTACCAAAGGCACTTCCACTTCAGTGTGTATGTATAGAGTTTGTGTGAGTTTGTGTTTTTGTGAATTGTTATGTCATTCCTGTTCAGCTTGAGCAAGCAGAGGTAAACAGCTCGCCTATTGGGTACGCTTGTTTGTCAAAAATATGTTTTTACTGCAGGTTGTGTTTATTTACATCGTTTATATTGACATAACTCTGTATGCGTTTCGTAAATATTATGCTGTAATACATCAAAAACTCAATTAATGAATATGTGTTTTTGAATTAAATGTATATTGTGTGTGTGTATGTTTACCATTGGGCTGACTAGGGGGCTCCCAAAAAGCATGCAGCGTATGAGGTCCTGTAGCATTGATTCTGGGAGCAGACTGGTTTTGTGGGGGTGCAGCAGCTGTGAGAATAGACAATGGTGGGCCAGAGGTGCAACCGCCAGAAGAGCATGCCTGTAAATTAAGACAACTTGTGATTTTAATTAAAGAAGGTTCACATATTTTAAAAAAACAAAACAATGTAAAATACTAAGCTGTTTTTAACTGGTTCCTTGGCACACCTACCTTCAGTGTTACAGAGTACTGCGTAAAGGACTTTAAACCGCTAGCCACAGCCTCTGTAGATAAACCTGTGTAGTGAATAACTGGCTCTGCTTCATTAGATGACCCCACTGAGGATAAAACAAACCTAAAAAAGGCAATTAAAAGAAAAAATGAACAACACTGTCACTCACTGCACTATGTTACAGTAATTTATAGACATACACAAGTATAGTACAGTAGGGGCCAAATGGGGTATAAAAACAATATTCTAAACATGTAAACATGTGGACAATAACTTTAAAATATAAGCCCACATTTGGTGAACATATTTCGACAGGAACATTTTCATCATTTCCTACATCTTGCGGTTTTGTACACATGATTGATTTAGGGCTAATTATTATTATATTATTAATACATGGGGTTAAATTATTCATATTTCTCTTTGCCAAAGTTTGACAAGGTTCCTAAAACATGTAATCCACAAGATTGAAACTACCGTACTTAAAAAACAGTGCGTAAAATTAACTGTAAAAGCGGCGCCAATGTAGATTTCTTACACACTGTCCCTTTTAATACCTAACTCAATCTTTAAATTTAGATTTTAAACATAGCAGATTGAATTAGTTATTGTGACAATATATACTTTAGACCAGGGTCTCCTAACCCTGGTCCTCAGAGCCCACTGTCCTACATGTTTTAGGTGCTTCCCTGCCTCCACACACCTGACCTGAATAAAAAGGTAGTTAACAGGCTTTTGCTGCATATGATTGCTGTTGACAAGGAAATGCAATAATTTGAGTCAGGTGTGCTTGAGTAGACAAATCTAAAACATGAAAGGGCAGTGGGCCCTGAAGACTGGGGTTAAGAAACCCTGCTTTACAGTAACTTCAGCTAAAATTTCCACCCAGGTTTTTAAAGCATTATATCTATTTTTGGATATTAAAAAAACCAAAACTGCCCATTCATATTGCAATTGCTGAAATCTATACTTTCTAAGCATTCATGCTTGGCATCTTGCAGAAATTGTTAACCACACCCTCATTTATCACAAGTATTGCAAGTATGTACGCAAGTAAAATAGTAATATGCAAGCAAAATCTGTAACCCAAATTTGCTTTTTACTACTCTGCAATGTGTGTCGGTTTCTCTGTTTAAACTGGACCGGCTCCATCTAGTATGTAGCTGTGAGAGCGAATCATAATGAGGAAATCACCAACTGTCCTCTGATGTATAAAAACTGGCACAAAAACCTAAACCTTCTGTGTTCAATTGAGGGTAGAACTTCCCACCTGATATGAACAATGAATCACAATAAAACACTGAACATGAAACATGTCAAATTAAATTGTTAGATATTTTACAATGAAATGTTGATCGGTGATTTTCTGCATCAAGATCTTCAAGATAAGATCTCTTACTATGCAGCTGGTTTTGATTTTATTTTTATTGGCCATTACTAACTTGCTAGCTTGCTTTTTCTAATACATATTCCTTACCTTTGGACTGGACCTTTATCATTTCTCGGTATGCTCCAGTTAAAGCTTGCACTGTATGGACCTGGTCGTCCAAGGAGGTTTAAGACAAGCTGCTCTGCAGAAGGAGGTGCTCCTAAAGTCTGGTAGGAGGCTGATGCACTTATTGTCTCACCAGCCACATTTGCTGTTATGAGCCAGTAGGAGTAGTTGGTAAATGGAAACAAATTACCATCTTCAAAGGATTCCAGTTCTCAAAAAAAAGAATATAAAATTATGTCAGAAAATATGAAGACAAGAATATTCATGCCATATAACTAAAATTAAGGAGAATAAAACCTTGAGTGATACATACTAAATGGAAAATGACTTTGAATGGTATGAACTGAGAGTCCATCCCTCATGAGAGTGTAGTTGAGTCTGTGTGAATTTGGGGAGTCAGGTGGATGCCACGAGAGATAGATTGAGGAGTAACTAGGAGCCAGACCAAGTGGTGCAGGCTGCTGGGAAGGGGCTGCACAGAGAAACCAAAACAATGTTGGAATCAGAGAAATATAAAAATATATTAATTTCAAAAGCAGCTAAACTGCATCAGTCAAATCAAAACGGATTGACCTGACCTTTGCTGCATCCGAAGGGGTTCTCTGGATCAAATGAAATGGCTCCAGGCTGGCATGAATCACATTTATCTCCAGTTACCAACAGCTTACATGTACACACACCTGTGTCTGGATCACATGAACTATTGAGACTGCCGTATGGGTCACAAGCACAAGGCTGACATCTGTTGAAAAACAGAAGTGGAAGAAGAGTTATGATAATGTATTTCCCATTCAGTACAGAATCAGTAAACTTTAAGGGTTCATAGTGTTCTGTGAAGGACAACAAAGTTCTTTCTGTCTCAGAACTTCTCTAATGTTTATGAGGTTAATAATTTCTAAATTACCCCAAAAAACCCCAAAACCATAAAACCTGTTTATGGTCACACCTGAACGCTTACATTAGACTTTCTTGTTCCCCTCCCCACAATAAAACATTCCACAATCACATCTTTAGAAAAAGTGGTGTGCCTTTTCCCAATCTCAAATGCCCTCACTATTGCACAACAGGATTAATATAATATATAAATTCGACAAAACAACTTATCTAATTCAGACTAGAGTCCAGATTAGCTTTTATACCTGCCACCAGAAAAGTAGACAATCTTGGGAAGCAATTCCAATCATCTTAAAGCAGACCAAAAAGTTTTGATGTTAGAGATATCCTAACCACTTTTAGAATTAAGAACTTAGATGTAGAGTTTGTTACAACCTGTCCCCTACTTCTATTGTTACAGGGTTTATACAGGAGTGAGTAACTGTAATTTAATGATTTTTAATGCTTTTTGAATTAATGCCATCAACAAGTACCCATGATTCTCACATAAACATATCCATGTCCCGAAATCCTCGTTTTCCAGCCACCTTTGTTGAAATTTGTATTTTCCCATACCCTAGCTTTTTCTCCGCCTGTAGCTTCTTTTCTGAAGATACGGTTTTATATATGTTTGGAACTGGAAGCAGTTCCGCACAAACACGTGGAATCAGTTATATCTGATATAATATCTGACAAAATTGTTTATATAAACTTTTTTTTAATAAAGCATTTTAAATGCAACTTTAAAAATTTTATGAATTTTAATGCCAATTAAGGCCTTAATTTAAAAAATAATAATTTAATGACTTTTAATGATTTTTAACGACCTGTGGAAACCCTGTGTTATTCTAACACACATTTCCATGAGGCTGTAGTACATGAGTTCAAAGGAACAATAGTATGAGGCATTTTCTTGCCATACTAAATGTAATCAGAAAGAGAAGGAGAAACTATCATACAGACTCGACAAACATTGAGAGATCTTTTTGTAGATGACAAAAACTCAAAATTCAGTGTCTCTGAAAAATACATTATGAAGTTTTTTTTTTGTGGCTTGGAGCTGAAAGGTAATAATCTAAGAAAATTCCAAATCTGATTTAAAATCTTTAATAACACTTCTCATCATGGGTATATTTACAGGTAGATCACGGTTCTAAATCATCTCTCCAAATGTTGCAGAATAAACATGAAATAGAATTGAATTTAAAAAAGAAACTTTTTAAATGTTTAAAGAGGACTTGAGATTGAGTGTGTGTCTACTGTATGTGTGCTTCACAGTGAGAAGTGCTGGGTCATCTCCTTAACACTGTGAGGGGAAATCCTAACCACCATCCATCTCGCCTCATAGCTGTGATATTAACTTCATACCCATCAGAGTTGCCAAAGAGTGTCCATTTGTGAGGCTGCATGTATTTTTCTGACGGTGTCTGTGTCTAGGTCACTGGTTTGGTGTTACCCCCACAGGGGCAGGACAGTAGGTTAGTATACGGCCACCCACCTTACACCTTTACAAACACACAAAAACGTGTGGTGCATTCTGTGTGCTGGAGAACGTTTAGCACACACTCAAACACACCAGTCTGACACGGTAAGAACCAGGCTACTGTCACCTACTCACAGACATTATTGATGTGTGTTTTTATTCTGCTGCATATTATACTCACATGTTATAAGTCTCTCTCCCTCTCTCTCTCACACACAAACACCAGTACACCTTTTTTATTGCAGTGTGAAAAGCCAGAGTCTCTTAAAGAGGCGCAAATTTGTCCTGTCAACTGGTGCACCAACAAGCATACACTCTCTGATACAGAAAATGCCACAGTGACTCGACCTTCACTCCCTTTTCCAAGGAGAAACACCAACATTTCACCGAGTCTTACCTCCATCAATGAGCCTAAAAATTTATTGTTTGTGCTATTTTAATGCCATTACAGAGAATCCAATAAGGCCGATTTTATAACGAAGTTTGGAGTTAACAATGATGAGATCAAACTTCAAAATAATCTTTATACTTATACTTTATTACAAATAGAGCCTATCTTATTTATACCTCTTGGAATAGTAGTACATCATTATAGTGAAGTGGAAAGAAAAAGGATAAAAGGCTTGTTCAACAAATACAATTTTAAAGTCTACAGTACATTCACAATCAGTCCCCTTAACTCTGATATCCCAATAAAATGCAGTGCAATCAGTTACATCAGAACTAACTCAATTAGTATAAATAGTCCACATGTTTATAATTTAATCTCAGCATAAATAAAGCTCTTCTGTAAAGGTTAAGAAGATTTTGGTAAGGATAAGTGGTAAAAAATACATAGTAATACATAAATCAAAGAACATAGGAGACAGGTCAGGGATAAAACTGGAGAGAAGTTTAAAATACAGGTAGGCTATTGAACAATATTCCAAGCTTATTTCATCTAATAGAGCTCTTTTCAATCGATGTTTAAGCAAAATCCTGCTGTGCATTGGTTCTGTGTCAATCCCCTTTATCAAACCGAGCTCATTTCAAAATATGCTATATAAGATGACTGTTTAATAGTCTATAATGTAATTGATGACATAAATAGTACTTAAAATAATTGTACATGGCTAAACATCATGTGGAATGGAAACAAGTGTTTTTTTTTTTTGTTTTTTGATGTTTTGACAGTTAATTGATGATAAATTGACAAGTAGGAAAGGGGCAGGACATTATAAGATGTATCTTCTACCTGCTCCTTTTCGAACAGAAAATATAAAATTTGCATGTCACATGGGCAAAATAATTTGTTTTATATTTTCATCCTTAAGTTTGTTTCATTCAAATTTTTTTTTCTTTCTTGATTGTTTTTATTGTGTGTTCGAAATAAATAAACAAATAAATAAATAAACAAATAAATAAATAAAATAAATAAATGAAATAAACATTTCAGGATTCAGAAATCAAATTCAGTGTTTGGGAACTTCTAAGATTTAAAGGTATAGAGGACGTTCTTTTTCCAGGTGGATTATGAAAATAAGTGGTCCTCCTAATCATTCTGCTGATATGTTTACACAAGGCTGTCCCCATTTCCACTTACGGTGGTGAGTCTGATATAGTGGTAAAAGTGCAAATCTTTTGGCTTGTATGAGTGATGCAAACAGCAACTTTTAAACAGAGTGTACATGAGGAGAAGTGAGCCCGACCATGCTCTCACATGTTAATAGGCATTCCCTCTCGAGAGGGGGTTCGCATGTGCATTTCTTTTTTAAGTGGAGAGGGCGGGTACGTCAAAATCCTCCACTATACCTTTAAGGAACAAGTTACTAAAATATTGACCAGTTTATTTTTATTCATATTATGTACAATTTCAAAGTAGAGATAGTTAACTAAGGATTCATTAAAGTATGAAAACAAAACTATCATAATTATGAAATTATTGAAAACCAATTGTTCTAGGGTTTGCTCCATTAAACTATTTTTTTAAGAAAATTTTTTTTTCTATCTTAAAAATAGTGAGCAATACATAAATGCGTGTTTTAATCTCATTCCTTTTCCATCCTCTTCACAGATGAAAGATCTCAGACACAGCCTGATGTCACCTCTAATGAAGCCACACCAGAAACCAAAGCTATCAGACAAGGTCAGCTAAAACACGCATCAATATACCAATGTACACACACAGAGTGGACAACTGGTCAAACAGTTTGTGGTCAATCCATCTACTATGAAACCTTGTAGAGTGTGTGTATGGACAAGTTTAATACTGTGTCCTTTTAATACTGTGTCCAAAATGAATGGTTATTTGTGGATGAGCATTTTAAGCTCTGTGAGCATGCAAGATGGCCTGCAGGTAGCAACATGAGAAGTAAAGGTCAAAGCAGTTCTTAACTGGTGTAAGTCATCTGTCTGCTCACTGTTCTACAATTTTTTTTTTTTCTCCAGAGATTGTACCTTGAGAACTGCATTCTATAAATAGATATTTGAATTAATAACTTTTGTTTTAATGCAGCATAAAAATCAGCATTACAGTTAATTTAAGATGTATGGATGACTATATATTATATGAATGACTGAATATTTGCATGGTTTCTTAACAACATAAGAGAGATTTTGTGTAGCCTACCTTCCCAGACCAGGGTTAAATCCAAAGAAGTTCTCACGACATTGGTCACAGCGTCTTCCTCCCACTGAGGGATGAGCACAGACACACTGTCCATTCTGGCTTTCACAACTAAGTTGCATTGCTCCCATAGGATGGCAGTCACACTCCAAACACATGCTATGATCTGGGCTGAGGTAGAAGCCTGTGTAAAAATATGTTTAAAAGTAATTAAATTGATCTTGGAATCAAACATGCCACGCAGTATTTTGAAGAAACACATAACAAAAATGAACAGCTTTATTACTTTAAACAGTGTGGCTTACATTAATACAAGGAAAAAGTATTTCAGTGCAGCTAAATACAGTTTAAAGCAACCATTTATGGACCAGCTCTACACCCTCTGCAGGGTGCTCTAGGGTTTATGGGAGTTTGCCCAACCAATCAAAGTGTGTTTTGATTACTTGGAAAAGGCATTTGACTGTGTGCAACATGGTGACCTGTGGGAGGCGCTCCAGGAGTACAGAGTCAGGGATCCTTTTACTAGGGGTCACAGTCACTGTACAAACAGAGCAGGAGGTTCGTCTGTCCTCTGTCACCTGTCCAGTTAATAAGGGGATCTGGTTTGAGGACCAGTGGATTTCATTCCTACTTTTTGAAGTTCAAGTGACCTGGCTCCCTACAGACATATCCTATAGTGTGCATGGTGGTGGTTTGCAGCTGAGTGTGAAGCCCCTGGGATAACGATCAGCTCCTCTAAGTGTGAGGCCATGGTATTTTGCATGAAAAAATCTGGCTTGTCCTCTTTAGGTTGGAGGAGTTCAATTGTCTATAGAGGTATCCGGTTGGAAAGTGAGGAGAAAAGGGAGAGAAAGATCAATAGAGGGATAAATGGTACCGGAGCTGGTATCATGCAGACACAGACAGGTCTGTTGTGGTGAATAGAGCCTTAAACCAAATGGCCTCACTTCCTACCCTCAACTACTGTAAAAAAAGTCTAGATTATGACCAAAAGTACAAGATCCCAAACACAAGCGGTTGAAATGAGTTTTCTCTGCAGGGTAGCTTGGTACTCCCTCAGAGAGGTGCTCTGTGATGCAGAACAGGCATGGTCTGGAGCTGCTTCTCCTCCACATTGAGAGGATTCAGCTAAAGGGTTTGGCTATCTGTTTCAGATGCCACCCAGATGCCTTTCTCAGAGTCCAAAAACATTTGTCCGAGTAAGATGTAGGAATGTGAACTGTTTCGTGTCATAATGTCAAATAACTTGATAGGTTGGCTAATTCGAATATGCAGTACAAATCTTTTATTTAGTCCCAGAAAGGAAAGGTACTAAAACAAAATGGCTACATTTTAAAAATTGAAAAACAGAACTGAATAGCGGCAGAAGAACATCCTGGTGACATGAGCTTTTAGGACTTTGTGCATTTAAAACAACATTTCTCTGGTTCTTGTGTACTGATCAAATTAGATCATCAGTGTTAGCAGAATATAAAATAAAACAAATCTTTTTAAATAAAATATATTCTATGAGGTACAACGTTTATTGAAGTGATAATTATTTGTTTTTTGTTGTTTTGCCCTTTGTTCTCAGATCCACCATTACAAGTATCTTGATGCTTTATCACATAAGACGATTCAGGATAACAACTAGGTAAAATAAAGACCATTTTTGTTTCAACTGAGCAACAAGAAGAAGAAAATTGAAAGAGAGACTAAAAAATATGAAAAAATTATAAGTAACCTGAACTTTCCAAAACCCAAAGTCTGGAATTATTTATATTCTATTTTTCACACAAAAATATAAAAACAATTTTAATTTCCTTTTTAATCTTGTTGATAATGTATTCATTTTTTCAACCCACCAGGTCGGCAGCTGCTGCAGTCCTTTCCTTGTCGCAGTGGGATACAAACACATTGCCCTGTGTTGCTGTCACATGTTGACCCTGTCACTGTTCCCCTGGGGTCACAGATACATGGCACACAGCCCTGTGAAAAACCTGAAAAAGATAGAAACAAGGTTTTTATGTGACAAAGTATCAAACTATAACAATAAAAGTGAAGCTTCTAAACTTAGTTAAAAGGAAAAGGCCTAACATGTTGCAGAGAATCCAGTTTTCAGTTTTGACTTTTCTTACTCTCATGGTCCAAACTACTATTATAGTAGTTTGGAATACAGCTGGTACAGTGGGCTCCCTCGACTCCTTCCTTGCAGGGGCATTGTCCTGTCTTCTTACTGCACACACCCTCTGACAAAGTTCCACTGATGTCACATAGACACGGCAGGCAGCCCAGGCTGTTGCGATGCTCAAGGGTGTGGTAACCACGACGACATGAATCACAATGATGGCCTTCTACATATTCCTAATAAAAAAAACAAAAATCAATGATGGGGACAGAAAGTTAGGGAGCAGGTAATACATATCATAAATATGGATGATATAAGGGAAAATAAATTAACTGCAGCATTGACATTATCAAGCAAATACACTTAATCTCATAATAAAAAAAAATGCATTTAATGCAATTTAATAGCTTGTCCTCTATTTACTCTTATTTATTGTCTGCAGTTCTTGTCACTGCGTTAAACTTTTATTATACTTAGACTGATTAATTATTAACCGGAGTATAGAAAGTCTAAAACATGCCTTTAGCTGACAGAGTATCAAATTAAGGGCAGTAATTACACCAAAAATGTAAAAAAATATATAAATATTTTACATTTAATGATTAAAAAAATCTATATTTTTGTCTGTTAATATGTTCTAACCAGAACTTCTCAAGTGGAAAAGTTTTAGTTTCACCTGGTTTAATTTTTTAAAAGTCTCCTTTAATGAACCTCTGGCTATCAGAGGTTCATTAAACTTCTGTTTAATGAACCTCTGATATTTTTTTTTATCAAAAAAAATTATCAACAGATTAATCTATTTGCAAAATAATTTTTTGTTGCAGCCATTAAACATACCAATATATTTATCTTTTTCTGGACAATCTAACTTTACAGGTAATGAGAACAAAAAAATAAAGTTTCTCGGAAATTTTGGATTCTGAAAAAAAAAGGGATTATGATAAGGAACTGTCACATTATGGTATACACAATGATGGAGAAGGCCGCTGACTTGAGAGTTGTCTAACAGTCAACCAGACCAAGAATCTGACCGTTTACATACTGTTCTTTCACAGGATATCAATAGAAATGTGAATGGAAGAAAAAATTTAATGTAAATTGTTGGAAAAATAACAGGGAAAGTACAGCCTTGTGAGTGTAACAAATCCCAATATGTCACACTGAATTAAAGAAGTAACTTAAGCCGGACATACACTGTATGAGTTTTTGCCCTTTTCATGTGAGAATGTTTTGGCTCGGGTTGAGTTTCAGCCTCATTGTACGTCCTGCGATGTGTAGTATACAGGGGTTAGGAGGGGAAATTGGCCTCTCATGACCACCATCCAATCAAGAATCGTACAGTGGGGAGAAAATTAAAGATGTTGGAAATTCACCCGATCCTCCTGAGGTGTTTGTGGGCAAATTCTGCAGAGCTACAGTATTAGCCATTTAAAATTTCCACACTTTCGTTAAAGGGCCCTTGGCTGGTCCCCTACAATTCATTTTTAAACATCAGTCTTTGTACTGAAATATTCTTTCTGTCATTATAGGTGGACATTAGGATCTAAAGAGAAGCATCAACTCCTGGTCAGACCCTGTAAGTCAGTGAAAGGTTGGAGTCAGAGTAAAATAATATGATCGGTTCATGGAGGGGATTTTGCTGGGAGTTGCAGGGCAGTGGGCTGCCATTTGGCTGGCATTTGACCCGGGAGGGGCCATTTTGAATGGCTGCTAGTGTATGAGCTTATATGAGCCAATTTACCAGAACTCTGGGCACTGTGCTTCTGTAAACAAGGGAATTTTTCTCCTTCTTCTTCGGGATTGACAATTCCGACCACATGAAAGGTGGGTTTTGGCCATTCAGTGTGAGCAGTTGGATCGCATCAGTGCGTTGGACTGCACTGTGTAAGAACATAGATAGTGAGCTCTGAACTTTTAAACCCTGCGGTTTCATCGTACAATTTGAGCCGTAGCTGAGTACAACAATTAAAAATATCGTACAGTGTATGCCCGGCCTTATACAAAAGAACCCCAATGCATCTAGTGCTCGGTAAATTGACATGTTTCTGCAGGTTAAAATTACTGTTAGGAATCCTCCTTTATTATTTCTTGTGAAAATCATATTTCACAAGGTGCATTTCTTTGTATTTTGACTGTGGGACATAACCATCAATATTACAAGGAGAATAAATAGTTGAAGCATATCATTCTGAATTGAAACGATCTATCAGTATTAGTTTTCCATTTAAAACCAAAATGTTTTGCTGCAATGAAACACTTAAAATGAAATTGTAATTTTTTACTATACGTACCTTACATACACACTGGCCTGTGTATGGATCACAGTTTGTCCCAGGTACTGTCCCATCAAGTGAGCAGTTGCAGGGGGCACAGGATCCCTCTATTGTTAAACCATACAATCCCCTACCGCATAAGTCACATTGACGGCCTCCCACCCCAGGCTTGCACTCACACTGCCCCCCATTGGGCTCACAAAATGGACTGAGGGAACCCAAAGGGTCACAGTCACATGGGATGCAGCCATCTGGGTGGGAAAGGTTCCAATATCCAAACTCACAGCGGTCACATGACAGACCTGGATAAAAAGCAAAAATTAGCACATTTTTAGAAGGAATAAAAATAACAGCTATTGAATGCCCCCTCTTTGAGCAGACCAGTATGTGTGTGTTTGTGTGTGTTTCAGAGAGCAAGAGAAATAGTGGGTGAGTGAATAAAACTGCCATCATTAGGGCCAGGCCCTCTGCTCATGATGGATCACTTACCTCAGGCCAAACACTTAATTTTATTGAGCAATAAATAAATAAATAAATGAAGTGCCCGTACAAGGAGAGAATTAAGAAAAAGAGGGAATAGTGAGATGTAAGACTAAAATATATATATATATATATATATATATATATATATATATATATATATATATATATATATATATATATATATATATATATATATATATATATATAAGATATGTCTATAGTCAAGCTAAATCATACCTTAAATTCCAAACATTTCATCACATTTAAGGGCAAGTTTAGAACCATGCAAGAAAAAAATGTTTCAAGGTAAATTTTTACTTTCATTGGTATGTGTTTAATTTATAAAAAAAATAACTCTCAACATTCTTCTCATATTTGTATCTAATAATCAGAAAGCAGTAAAAAGCAATGTTATGCAAAAAAGCCTTAACACTAGTTAAATTATGATATGCAGCGTGGGTGTGTGCAAGGCTTATTTGAATATACCATACGTATTCTATGACAGGCAATCTGTCCCTAAATGGATGCCTGGGGCAATGCAGTCACCACAGTCATTTATGAGGGAGCATGTGTTCATATGTGGGTGGCTAAGAATGTGTGGGTGCACACAGAGATTAATGAAAACATACTACTATATTTGTGTTAGGGCAGGTGTTTGTGTCCAACACTTGTACTGCACCTGACCCACCCACTTTAATGGAGTTGTAGATACTGGTATCTTTTTTTTCCATGGGTCATTTTTAATAACTATTCAATGACGATATATGTCTGTGTTTGGAGAAATCTATACACACAGCTTAGTTTATATGTGGTAAATATCTAGACTGATGCTTAAACACCCAATCCCACTTTAAAAGATTAGAAATATAATTTCTAATCTTTGTTTGTGTATAACAAAGTTGGTACAAAGTTTGTGTATAACTTTAAAAAGTTATACACAACTTGTTCCATTTTAGGAACAGGATTTCTTATTAAAAACAAAATACAAAACAAAAGTTCTGACGTAATAGCTTACTGTAAAAGACGGAGGGTAAATAAAAGAAACAGTTAAAATGTAAAAAAAAAATGTGTGTTAAATGAAGTTATATAAAAATAAAACAGCGTATTTTGTCTAAAGTTGCCCCAGTAAACGTGTGTGTGTTTGCATATGTGTTTTCAGTAACTTGGCCATGCTTTTTATCAGGAGCCAGCTGGTTAACAGGCTCATGCATCACCATTTCAAACACTATTATGAACACACTGCACTCTGGCACCTTGTTATGAGTGTACACAGTTTTCAGTATGTGTGTATCGAAGTTTATGCGCACACATTTCAATCCTATCCTTCTGAAGCGTGCCTGCCATTGCTCTACACAAAGTATCAGCTTGGCGGTAATAAATTGCCATAATCAAATTTCATTTCTGAAAAATACCTGTGGGAGCACCCAAACAAACAAGGAAAGAAAAAAAAAGGGAGCTGTAAGAAGAAGTGTGAAGAAATACAAGGAGCTGCAGCAGTTTGTTTTAATCAACTTGGCACTGAATTAGAGAATTAAATACCAAGTAAGCCCTTGATGGCATATTTGTGCACATACATGTGCATGTACAAACACAAACATTTTTATGTTCAAACACTTGAACATGCAACACAGAGTAAGAGAAAAATAAATAAACTCCAACACACCCATCTCTTACAAAAACACACCAACAATGCATGTGCACAGACTCACACGCACAACAGGGGCCCTTGATAGCGAGGCTTAGCAATAAGCATGATGCGGTGAGTTGAAAACCGATGGCCAATTTTGCATTTCATATGAGCCTGGTCTTCAAAGACACACAGGGGATAGAGTGAAACCATTTATCAAGAAGAGAGGCACAACGGCTGAAAGCAGCGCTAGTAGAAAAGCCTGTTTATTTTTGGCTACCTAAACACTTAGGGGTGTGAGTGTTCATCAGTGTCTATGGATATGCATACTTGTTTTTTATAATGAGTATCTAGTGTATATTTTTTTGTATTTGAGCAGGTCAGTAAAAACCCATATGTATCAATTAAGGGAAAACTTGTTGGACAACTAAGGAAAGTAATAGAGAAATTTACTATTGTTTTGAGCACACCAGTAAAACTCATTGGCACTAAAAGATGTTACTGCTCAAGTTTACATAGGAGATTCAGTGATAAGATAGTTGGCATGTTGTCATTACAAACGCAGTTAATATGAATCTGAACTAAATATTAATTGTATGCACTCAAAGTAGTTATAACTGAAGTGGAAAAAAAAAATTCACTGCATAGATATTTTAATCACAAATTACATCCATGCCTGTCTTGGTGGGAAACAGAAGACACATTTCTGTGGTAAACACTCAAGATGGTTTAGTGTTAGATGGGGGCCTAGTGGTTAGAGAAGTGTGCTTGTGCTCTGAGAAGGTTGCAAGTACCCGGTTCGACAGCCTGCACTCTGGGCTCCTGAGCAAGACTCTTAACCCCACACTGGTCCCCAGGCGCTGCATACTGTAAAGGGCTGGTTATACTCCCCGCAGCCGCAGTCAGCTTGACGCAGACATTTTTTATTTATGCTCAATTTTGAGCGTGGTCTGCCCTATATGCTTTGGGTCTAGATACAGTCGAGGCTGTGAGGAAGTGGGGGCACGTTTATCCAACAACAGAGGGACATGACGGCGAAAAAGAATGGAGATCCAGGTGGAAAAAGGGTCCCAGCGGTCTCGTGCACCTCGCTCTTCTAGGTGGTAAAACTTCCCGAGTGGTTTTCCACAATTGCGGTAATAAAAACAAACGAAGCCAGGCCTCCTGTCTGCGGCAATGTCTGCAGTCACCTACAATTTGGGAGAGGTGCAGCAGAGTGTCTGCGGAGGGGGCGGGGACATCTTTTTGTTCACTGCGACACCTACGGAGACGACCTAGTTTCGAAGTATAAATCAGCCTTATTGGCAGCTCGCTGCTCCCAAAGGGGATGGGTTAACTGCAGAGAGTTCATTTCCCATTGTGGGACAATAAAGGGATTTACATACACAACATGAAAGCAGCCTGACTAAAGATGGAGGCGCTTAGGCTTGGTTGTCCTTGCGGACTCAGCTGATAGGTACTGGTTGACAGAGGGCTGCAGGTAAGAATGAAAACTTGTGCACTGAGAGAATTCAGAGACTGTGAGAAAGCTTTGTTTTGCCATTTCTACATAATAAATAGAATTTAAAAAATAAGTGTTTTAAATTACTTAAAACACTGGCATGTTTTTTTTCTAACAGCCTAAAGAAGTATAATGGGTTGTTGTGTTAAACTAATTACAATATACTGTAATGTTTAAGCTTGGCTTGTTCATTAGTACATTTAAGCAAACATAACTAGCTATCCATGATTAGCGCTTCACCTTAAGTAACTAAAGGTATCGTCTTCTCCAGCATCATACCAAATCTGTTTTGAAACAATTTTAGCGATAACATGATCAGTTGCTTCTGAGGGTCCCAAAGACAAAATGCAAGCTCAGAGGGGACTGTGCTTTTTCTGTGGCAGCTCCTAAGCTATGGAATGATCTGCCTTTGAGCATAAGACAGGCCTCTTCTCTTGCTATTTTTAAGTCCCTTGTTAAGACTCATCTTTTTTCCTTGGCTTTTGGCACAATTTGAGAGGTTTCACTTTGTTTTATTCTGTATGTATACTAATATGTATTTTATTCTCTATCTTTTCTATTTTTATAATTGCATTGTATTTTATGATTGTGTACAGCACTTTGGTCCTGTCCGGTGTATAAAGTGCTTCATAAATAAAGCTGGTATGGTATTGTACGGTAACATTCTTAACAAGAAGTTATCAGTTCAGTTTTGTCAAGATCTTGGGTCAACCTGCTTCTGGGACTAGATATTTTTTGTTTGTGTTTTTCCTCTCCTTGTTAACAAGTGTAGATACAGAATTGACACCATTGCTAAAAAAAAAAAAAAAACAGTATTGTGATTCCCTTTTGATGTGCTGTATAGTTTTTACATTTGTTAGTTTATTTTCTCTGTGTTCCAAACTGCTTCTAACATTGTTGTTAAAAAGTAACTTTGTTATGCTTGTTGATCAGTGCTGCTGTAGAAAAAAATATTCCCAACTCTCCATTCCAAAGTCCGGATATGAGCCAATTCCAACTCTTGTACATATATACTCAACAAACCAAAGCATTTCTGTAAGCATTCAGGGTAGTATCTGAAACTGCATTGGTATAATATCAAGAAAAATTTATATTTTCCCCAATTTTATAATTTAATTTTCATTAATCTTGACTCAGGTTCCTAAAATGACTTACTGATTTTCCAAATATTTACCTGTGACATGGGGTTTACAGTGGCACTGCCCTGTGTCCTGGTTGCAGATGGAAACTTCTACTGTTGAGGGGCTCATGGTTCCTTGGTCACTACAGTTACAGGATGTGCAGCCATTTGGATTTGTAGCATCGAGACCATACCAACCAGGCAAACAATGAGTGCATTGACGGCCTGTTACTGCAACCTTGCAGTGACACTGTCCTCCAACCTTTGTATGACACAGACAGCGAGAGATGAAGAGATACAAAGGAAATATAAGGTATACAAATCAACAACTTTCTGAGAATTGAATTTAAAGGGCAGCATGTATGTACCTGGGCACACTCTGCGGTACCTTGGACAGTTCCAGCAGGGTTACAGTTGCAGGGCTGACACACATGAGCTGAGGTTGGATCAAATTCCTGCATCCTGAAGAATCCACTTACACACTGCTCGCAGTTCTTTCCTTATGATGAGAGTGACAAAAGAGAAAAAGAAGGAGGAAAAAATGATATAAGTTTTTTTTTTTTTTTGTAAAATTATCAAAATAAAAGAACCTTTGCTTATATTCTATTCGGCATGTCCCGGTTTGAATCCAGGAATATTTAAATGATTAATATTGGAAGTATGAGATGAAACTTTACTCCAACATTTTTTCAGAGTGAAATGAGCAAAACAGGAAAGAGCTCTTGTAACCGAGTCAATGAGATGCGCAGTTATCAGCACAGAAGCACCAAGCTTATGAAGTCTCTTTCACTAAGAATTCTCAAATGCTGCACCCATGCTGTACACCAACAAAAATAACATCTCTCTTTAATAACGTCTCTCACCCCACACATGGAACTGTTGCTGAACTGGAGACAGACTGCTGCACCATAAATGCACAAAGGAGCGTTATCACAGATCCTTCCTGCCAGCAGCTGTAAGACTTTATAACTATCACTGCTCCTAACAAGCTAAAGAACTTTTTATACAAATCTTTTTGCATAGGTGATAGTCACTTTAAATAGCATGCTGCTGTCATTTTGTACATCTCTGCTGTTGCTATTTCTTATTACTGTAAAAATGTCCACAGTTGTAAATTTTGATTATTATTAATTTTTTAGGGACTGCACAAAACTTCTTTTTGCTCATTGTGTACAACATTTTTATTTGTATTGTAATATGTTTTTAACCTTTTTTTCCCACGTTATTCTGCTTTTTTTATGTATATACACTTTTACTGAGAAAGTAGTTGCCAAACAAGTTTGCACTTACACCATAATTAACTTTTTGAAGAGTGTCAGTCTGGCTTTAGAGCTCATCATAGCACTGAAACAGCTCTACTAATGATATTCTCATGGCGTCAGATAATGGACTTGTATCTGTGCTCGTCCTGTTGGATCTTAGTGCTGCATTTGATACAGTTGACCATAATATTCTTTTAGAAAGACTTGAATATTTTGTTGGAATTAAAGGAACAGCACTAGACTGGTTTAAATCTTATCTATCTGATCGAATTCAGTTTGTTCATGTTAATGATAGATGTTCAACACGCTCAAAGGTTACCTGTGGAGTACCACAGGGATCAGTGCTAGGACCAATTCTCTTTACTTTATACATGCTCCCAATTGGTAGAGTTATTAGACAGCATGGGATTAATTTCCACTGTTATGCTGATGATACCCAGCTTTATCTGTGTATAAATCCAGATGAAGCTAACCCATTACATAGATTACAGGCATGTCTTGAAGACATAAAAACCTGGATGACTCTTAACTTTCTGCTTCTGAATGCAGACAAAACAGAAGGTATAGTCTTTGGACCAGAGTCTCTGAAAAAGAAACTGATTAGCCAGTCACTTCATTTGGATGGGATTAAACTGATTTCAGATAATAAAGTAAAAAATCTTGGTGTTATTTTTGATCAGGACCTGTCATTTAAATCCCATATCAAAGAGGTTTCTAGAATTTCCTTCTTTCATCTGAGGAACATTGCAAAAATTAGAAATATCCTGTCCAGGGGTGATGCTGAGAAACTAGTCCATGCATTTGTGACTTCAAGGCTGGACTATTGTAATTCTTTACTATCAGGAAGTCCACAAACTGTAGTTAAAAGCCTTCAGCTGATCCAAAATGCTGCAGCCAGAGTTCTAATGAAAATTAAAAAGAGAGATCATATCTCACCTATCCTGGCTTCTCTTCATTGGCTTCCTGTTAAATCCTTAATAGAATTTAAAATTCTCCTCACATATAAAGCCTTAAATGGCCAAGCTCCATCTTATATCAGAGATCTGATTGTTCCTTATGTTCCTAACAGAGCACTTCGCTCTCAATCTGCAGGTTTACTAGTGGTTCCTAGAATTTCTAAAAGTAGAATGGGAGGCAGATCTTTTAGTTATCAGGCTCCTCTCCTGTGGAACCAACTACCAGTTTTAGTCCGTGAGGCAGACACCCTGTCTACTTTTAAGGATAGGCTTAAAACTTTCCTTTTTGATAAAGCTTACAGTTAGAGTGGCTTGGGTTATCCTGAGCTATCTCTATAGTTTTGCTGCTATAGGCTTAGACTTTTGGAGGACATAGGGACCCCCATTTCATCATTCTGCTTCATTCTCTCTCTGTTCTCCTATTCTGCAGAATCTGTTAGTTCAATCTCTAACCTTCTGCTCTCTCTGCTTTTCCTCATAGAAGCTTTGCCTCGTCTGTTCCTGTTTGGCTGTGACGTCATCCTGGAAAGAAACATCAGCTGTGCTGCTTCCATCAACACCCTTGTTTATAGATGTTGGAGATCGGCCTGTTTTCCAGTGTAGTCCTGTTTCTCTGACTGTGACTGGCTGGATGTGCTCTTTAATTCTCTGACATGGGAGCTGGCTCGGAGCTCATCTGCCTGGCTGTGTGTTTCCTGGACGGGGCCGCCTTTTACAGCTGCTTTTTGTATCTCTGCTTCTGTCTCCTTGAACCCCAGTCGGCCTTGGCAGATGGCTGCTCACACTGAGCCTGGTTCTGCTGGAGGTTTCTTCCCGTTAAAAGGGAGTTTTTCCTCTCCACTGTCGCTACAAGCATGCTTAGTGTGAGGGATTGTATTTGAGTCAATGAGTCAATGCAATCAACTGGTTTTCCTTAGATAGTAAACTTTGTATCAATTTGACTGTATGATCTGGTTGAACTGTAAAGTGCCTTGAGATGACATGTGTTGTGAATTTGGCGCTATATAAATAAACTGAATTGAATTGAATTGAAATTGAATTTTTAATGTCTATACTTGTGTTACTCTTTTACTATAATGCCTGTCGCTTTGCTGCTTTTACAACACAATTTCCCTATTGTGGGATAAAAGGATTTTCTATTCTATTTCCTTCTAGCTTCTTTAGTTAAAGCCTTAGGCTTTCAGGACCAATAGGCAATATTTTCCATCTGAATTGTCTGTAAGTATTGTCTGAATAATCTGCCAGTAAGGAAGAATGAAAGAAAAGGAAGCAGAATGCTTAGCATAGGGTCCTCCTGACATTCCCATCCAATTTTTTTATTTCTAATACAATACCTATATTGCCGCTTTAAGTTGTGGCCGATACAGATATTGGACCTGAGACAGTACAAATCAAACATACTTTTATTACTTATTTCACAGTATGGACTGTCAAACAAATGTTGATCCATTGGTAGTACTTAAAGGAACTAGGAGCAGGAATTGTGAAACAATACACATGCATGTCCAGCTTCTTTTATACTAATGGGTGATTAGGCGTTACAAACCAAAGCCAACGAGCCCATCCATGTATCTCTCTATGCCTAGAATAGGATGTGTGCTGCAAAATACGCTACAATCTGGGGTCAGTTTAGGATGCGGTTGTTTCAGTGGTAGTACTGGAAGCAACTGTAGAAGAAGCTGTTGTTTAAAACAGTGGCAAGGACAACTATTGGCTTAATCTGCAGCCAGCAAACAACCACAATATACTCAAAGTCCACTAAAAGCGACACTGCCAAAAAAAAAAGACTTTATCAGCAGCATCTTGTGAGTTGAAACAAAAATATGAAGCGGGGCAGGCACCTGGACAAATATCGGAAACAAGCTCAATTCGTGGAGGGAACGGTAGCTGGATTTGGGACAGAATACTGATGCTGACATGGCTAAAAATAGATGAAGCCAACATAAAAGTTACACTAAAATTAACATTATTTACTTCGTCGCTGAACATGGTGGTTGTTGCTGTCACAAAATATATGCGATGGACTTAAAGTAAAGCGTCACGTTGTAAACAGCGTACAGGATCACCAGTGCAGTGCTATAATATATCCTATCTGTGAAGCGTTTCTGTGCTCTCCAGTGTCCGCTAGTCTAGTGAGTGCAGTTACCGACAGTGCCAGTCATGTCACTTGTTACTCTAATTTCCTCCTCCTGCCTCTAGTTCCTTTAAACAGAGAATCACAGTCTACAACCATAGGTATAAGAAATACTGAGCCTTTTATTATTAACCAATGGGTCAAAATGAGCATGAGAACAGTGAGCAAAAATCCCAAAACTGCAGAGTCTGGGAACAAAAGCTGCCATCAGTAAAACACAACCCCCCATGGGGGACTCGAATCTTGAAGTGCAAGGGGTGTCCCCTGTTTAAACCAGTATATTTCCAGGCCCCTCTTAAGTTTTCCAGAATGGTTATGGATGATCAAGAAGTGGACGTGGAGGATACCATGTAGTCGGATGCAACCAAAAAAGATACTTTTGGCACAAACTTAACTTGTCATGTTTGGAGGAAGGAGAATGCTGAATTGCATCCTGAGAACACCATACCTAAAATAAAGCATGGTGACGGAAACATGGGACTGCTTTACAAATGGGTGTCAGGATCCCAGTTTTTGTGTTCGTCTGTTTGTCTTGTCTTTTGTGTTTCTCCCTTCCACCACCAGGAGGCGCCTGGCTCCGGCTCGCCTCCTCACACACCTGCAAGCTGTTGCCTCATCACCGGACTGCTCTTAAGCTGCTGGTTGCCACTACAGACGCCAGAGTGTTTGCCAGTTTGGGGTACTCTAGCCAAGCCTATGCTGAGTCTAATCTGAGTTTTTGCATTTTGAGTTTTTGTTCTCTAGCCAAGCTGAGATCACATTGAGTTTTACTGAGCTCTTGTTTCTCCCTGAGTCTTAACTTTGTTTGTTCTTTGCCTTTTGGCAGGAAGCCTTCCTGCAAACTGGACCTTTTCGGACCACCTTCTCCCAAGTGGGATCAACTAAGTCTTACACTGAGCGACGGATTCCAAACAGGAGGTTTGGATCCAGCCACCTTTGAGCACGCTGAGATTTCTCTCTGAGTAAGGAAGTCATCTTCACCACGACCCGTTCAAGTACCACAGGAAAACTGAGTTGCAACCAGGGGCTGCATCATTCCACTCCGTCCGAGTTCTGGGTAAACCCTGTTTCGCCCTCCACCGAATCAATGAAACTCTGGAAGACCAACACACAGACTTGAGTCTACGTGTCTCTTCTTCTCTGGAAATGTGAGTGGCAACAAATCCTCTCCTTCAAGATTAACAACTCAAATTCCCCACTGAGCCTTAATCTTATAGTCTGTCTTCCCCTCGTCTTCCAGTTTCCCAGCCGAGCAGAGTTCGGAGGAACTCTGCACCGAACTCAAAATACTCTTCAATAAAACCCATTCAAACATTTACTCTGTGTCTCTATGTTTGGCTTCACTGCATGTGGGTCCGAGCTTTAGATAAAATCATGACAATGGGAAACATTTGGCCTCTGTCATTACGAACAAAGGTTATACTACAAAGTATTGAGTTGAAAATTAAATTAACAAAATCACATTGTCCTTATTTTACTTCTTATTCATCTTTGTGTAAAGCAGTTTTAATAAAATCTCTTGGAATGAACAAGGCTTCTATTCATATTTGTTTTGTATCTGTTATATTTAAAATATTTTAAAAATATGATTTCTATTTTACGATTCATTAAATTTTGCAAAAGAGAGGGCACCTGTAGTATTGTGCATGCAGTGGTCACAGACTCCTCCTCCTCCACGATAGTGCTCATGTGGATGCTCGTCAGCAAGGACATCATAATGACAAGAAACAGCATGACCATAACACTGACAGAGTCTGCAGTTCATAGGCTGGAGCTGATCACCTGACCTGAAGGGTTTGTCATTGTAGAGTGGTGCACAGCGTTCGCACTGAAAAACAAAATGAACAAAAATATTTTATGTCAAACAAGAATTATGAAAACACATCTACTAGCATTTTACATAATGGTAAAAGTCACAGTAGTTACATTACAAAGTTTGAAAGAAAAACAATGGATTTCCAAATTAAAGCATTAGTTTCTGAAAAAAAAAATCAATGATAAATTATCTTTTTTAAATTAGTTATTAGTTAAATAACTTGTGGTTACATTTACAGTAACATATTAGTATTTGCTACTGGTCCAGGGGGTACCAGGCCTTTCCCTTATAGGCTGCTGCAGATGGGCACCAGCCTCACTGTGACATTGACGAATGAAGCTCCAGAAAAAGGATCGGAATTATTATAAGAAAGTAAACATAAAAGTAAAAGAGGAACAAGTCAGCAGAACCCAAATGAAAAGTAAAACAAAAACCCATTCACTTCTAAGAGTGATGTTCATTTTATTGCTAAATCAGCAAGTTAAAGATATGAGTTAACCATTTAGTGCTATACACTGAGGTTTTGGAGGTTTTTAAAAAGGTAGATTTAGTGTTTAAATCTGGCCTGTTTTCATCATAAGAACCAAGTGGTACCAATTATAAAGTCTGGCCCAGTTGGGACAATCAACCTTAGATCACTGCTCTGTTTAAGATCCATTTGCAAGGAGTGGCTAAAGATATGTTTATATGCCTGTAATAAATACCAGGCTATATGATTGCCCAGTTCACCCCCCAAAAACTGGTCCCCAAAAGTACCTATAAGTTTGCACAAGGAAAGGGATCTTATAAGTGACTTGTAACAGCTATTGCTTTTACAAAATCCCACTGTCATATAAAAAAATAAACATACCAAGGTATATGTAGAAGGGAAGTGGAGTTGCGTTTGTGCCTGTATGTGTGTGGGCGGTCGGAGGGGTTGGTGGGTGGAGGTGGGGTAGGGGGGTTATAAAAAACAATCATTTCTTTAGAAGAAAACAGCAGAGGAAGGAAGCAGCAAGTACAAGTCCTTTGATTATGTTCAGCAGTCAGTACAAATTATGCTGGACAAGGGGGGCATCAAATGGCAGGATTAAAAATGTATTAAAAAACACAGGAGTTCCTCCCATGTGTAAAACATGTAGACCTGCACTGGGCCTATTATGTATGACACACAGACGAGAGGGTGTTCAGAAGGTAAAAAGGAGGAGGGGGAGAGGGTTGATGAGGACTTGGGGGAGGTGATATAATTTTGGATTTCAGGGAAAGAAAGTATGAAAAAAATAGCAACAAGAATAAATCAAACAGCAGCAAGTAATATACATTATGTAAGATTTAGTGAGGAGAAACAACAGGAAAAAAATAACAATAAAACAAGAGGCAAAATCCTACAATCCTGCATTTGGTTGGGGTTGTGCAGCTAAATTGAAGTACATTGTTTAATAATCCACTATAAAAATGTATGGAACAAAAAGTTATAGAATCAAATTATATTAATTTTTTATACATCTATGACCCCTTGCCTGTATGTCTTTTTCCAGGGTTATTACTGAATAAAAAAAACTGAATATGATTACCATGAAAGGGTTTTTCTAAAAAAAAAAAAGGTTGACTTTGGAGATATGCGTCAAAGAAACGTTCTCATAAAGGGCAGCAACACAATTAGGGTCGGGAATTGATAAGATTTTCACGATTCTGATTCCCTTATCGATTCTGTGAAACGATTCAATTTCTTATCGATTCTGTGAAACAATGAATTTGGTAAGTGCACGGTGACATTCCTCTACCTTTGCCTGGGACGTTCTATTTCTGCCTGCCTCGGCGAAAACAGAAGGCAGTGAACGGGCGCTGCCAGCCTCTGAGCCAGCCATGCTACCCGTCTCGTCACAGTCACCTAAATCTAATGGGGAAGGCATTTAATGAAAAAGCATTACTGTAAAATTTCGGGATATAAACTCATCTCCCTCTGATTTAAATAAACAAGTGTCACCTTTCTTTGATCCCTGAACTGCAGAGCAAAGTCGTAGCAGGTTTAATAACCCCAAGAAGAGGCAGGAAATTGTTTTTTTTCCAGAAATGGCCTATGATTTACTAGGAACCTCATTAAGCACAGCCAGTGATATAAAACTAGCTACTTACCACCAGAGTTGCCTTCCATGCTACGTTAAAATGTATACCATGTTGTGTGCACAGGTGTCTCTGCATGTTGGATGTATTTCCTCCCGCGGATGTAATTGCCAGTTTACATCCAAACTTTTGTTCGGTTTTACCAGATGGGACTTTTCTAGACTTACGCCTGGTCACGTTGTACTCGCTTACTGAATGCAGTGTGCGTAACTTGCGTTAAAAACGTGACGCAAGTCGTGCCCAGAACTAGGCTCTGGTGCTGCCTGGAAACCTTAAGAGAATCGTTAAGCGAGCTGCCAAACAGTGCCATGGAATTGGAACACACAGAACCGGTTCTGAACAGAAAACGGTTTTTGATTCCATCCCTAAACACAATGATTCCAAACATTAGCTGCATCTACTGAACTAATTTACTGCATCTTCAGCTTGTGCTAATTCCAGAACAGGATCATTACAAGGCAAGCTTCTTTCACTTTTCCATAAACCTAACTGGTTTGAAGCCCTAGAAATTGTGATGTTCTGTTTATTGTGAAACCTTTTTTTAAAAAACCAATTAATTTGTTTTCAGCAATTTATGCTACAGCTAACTTACCATCTAGAAAGTGGACCATTCTTTCTTGGAGTTTAAAAAATATGTCTACTTTTTTGATTGTGGCTCTTTTCTCTGGCATGTTTCACCTATCGATGCTACTTTCTACCTTCTGTCCAAAAGCTCTTTGAACCTCACTGCTAAACTTGTCTAGAGCTGTTGAATCCAGGAGTAGAAGATTTTCCATCTATGGGTCTCTTTTCATTTCTTTTGGTACCCTTCTGCTTCCAGCCTTCCTCATTTTCCAAACTTCTCTTTGTGGAAAACAAATCTTTCTGTACATCTCTCCCATCTTTCCATCTATCCACCTCCTCATCCCCCATCAGTCTCCACTGTCCCTCGACTACTTGTTCTCATAGTCACGGTGACTATGTGAGCTGAAAATATTACCATAGCAAATGAAAGAGTTTTTTTTTCTTTCGTCTCTTTTCTTTTTATACAACATTGCTTTACCTTCCCTCCCTCCCTGCCTGCTAATTAGTCGAGGGACTGGTGTTTGGGAGTTAAAAGAGGAGCGTGCACGTTAATTCTACTCATACAAAAGGTTTTGATGCTGCTCCATCATCTACATGCAGCAACAGAGCAAAAAACGAGGACACATGAAGAAGATTGAGTCTGTGCATTTCTAATTCACAATTTGTTGGACCCTCTTATTTGCGTTAGGCCACTATAATCCTTATTAAGAGTTAAGACCTTATTTCTGTTTTTTTTCAACAGTACTGTAGTTCTGTCAGTGATAAACCATGATTCTAAATCACTCACTCTAAAAATATTGTTTTTTTCAATCAATGTTATGTGAATATAGTGCTCTGAAAAATCTTTGTCCCAAACCGATTTTTGCTTTTTATTATACTGCCGTTTCATTCAACAAACTTCACTTTAAAGATAACCAAACTAAAACAAAGTACAGCATTTGTTGCCCAAATTAACTGCTGTCAAGAGCACTTGTTTTTAAAATCATCTTGTAGTACATTTGACAAATTTTTAAGAGAAACTTTGTGCTTTGGGCATCAACAATCTGCTTAAGATCATGCCACAGCATCTTAATCAGAAGAACTTTGACTAGACCAATACAAAACCTGTTTTTAATAAGTCTGTCAGAGATAAACCATTATCATGCTACATAACCAAGCTATGCCCAAGATCGATGCTATGAACTGAAGATATCAATCTTTTAGGATTTTCTTAAAAAGCAGGATTAATGTTCCTGTAAATTACCTTAAGTCATTCACATCCTGAAGAAACTAAAAATCTCCAGATCATCTCAACACCACCACCAAGGTTTATTGCCAATATGATGCAGTTTTACTCCAGCTCAAACAAAATAAACACCTTCCAAAAAGTGTTCCTTTTATTCAGCAGTAGTTATGGCCTTAGAACGCATGGTGTCTTTTTTTCCCCAATTTCTTTTTTTGCTGGTGAATCATTAACGGGTTCTTTACTGCCACATGTTTCTCCATTTATAGATTCTGGTTCGAACTGTTTGCATGAGAATTAAAGCCTTAATAAAACATTCAGAAGTGATAAAGTAAATAAGAATAGATAAGGCTTTTTCCCCCCATCTATTTATTAATAAAAACTCTGACAGTAACTGACAATGAGTTTAAGTTTCGTTGGTGAATCTGAACTCTGCTCCACCAAAAAAATTTAAATAAAATATGTTAAAGTGAAATGAGGATTTAAAAAGATGGATATAATTTTTTCACATACAGTGCTGTGAAATCTCCATCAGGATCCCCCCCCCCCCCCCCCCCCCCCCCCTCAAACAAATTATAATATTTAAAAACCCCTTATCTTAGGCAAAGACATTTGCTCTGATTAAAAAACTACAAACTAAATCTGTAGGAGAAATTTTGTTATTTACATACATACTTTGCACTCAGCCCAGAATACTGTATAAAAGAAAAAAAATATCGGTTTGATATAAAATTTTCATGTAAAATGCAATATCCCAATGGCTGTAAGCAGATAATCATCATGATCAAGAGAAATGATGGCCTGTAAACATCTGGTTTGAACTTTGTGATATGATACATATGCAAAAGAAAACGAAAAAGAAAAAAAAAAAACTATCAGAGCAGGTCATATGTTTCTAGAGACTGCAGCTGTGTGTGTATGTTGGTGGATATGTGTGTATTGAGTGTAAATCTAAGTACTTTGGACTGTGAACCAGAGGAAGGAATAACATCTTATTTTCACTCTGACTGTTGTGACAAAACCTGCTGAGTGAGGCGACTACTCTAATGGATATGTGGACATTCAGATGGCCTGTCATAAGCATCTGTGCATGTGTGCGTGAGTGTAAATCCACTGGGAACACTCATCTTATCCTAAATGCCATGACTAATTTCACGCTCTCGCAGCAAAGGTCATGGCACTTGCTAGTATGTGTGTGGCAGTGCTTGTGTGTATACATCCATGTCTTGTGTATCTACAGAAAAGTTAACCTGGTTAACTCGAGTGGAGGTGAAAATCTGCTGCTGGTGCAGCCTTCAGCGACAGAAAATCTGGAAAACACCACTTAACGTCAGTAGAGATCAGACACTGTTGTCTCACACAGGGAAGCGAGCTCAAATAAACAGCTAGAACTGGATTTGAAAATAGCAACTGACAAACTTAGAAAATCCCTTAGCAAAAAGTAGTATACTTGAAGTAAGTTCTATTAAGAATACTTAAGTATAAGTTTAAAAAGTATACTGAACAATGTACTTTTAGTGTACTTGAAGTTGTTAGGATTCCAGTTTGTGTGGGTTGTTTTTGTGTGTTTCTTCTCTCCACCACCAGATGGTGCCCTGTTCTCGTTGGGCCTCCTTGCACACCTGCGGCTCGTTGGCTCTTTACCAGAGGAGTATTTGAGCAGCAAGCTGTCACTACCTCGAGGCCAGAGTGTTTGCCAGTATTGGGTACTCTAGCCATACTGAGATTAGCAGAGTCTAACCTTAGTCTTGTCCCTCCGAGTCTAAGGTTGTTTTGTCTTTGTTCTTCGGCAGGAAGCCTTCCTGAAACACTGGATAAGCCTGGACCTTCTATAAATGTCAAAATGTGTGAATTGGGGACATTTGCTCTCCGTCGTGTCTACTGCTAGCAGGTTCTTGTGCTAAATGAAAATTAGCCCCTTATGCTTTCATTTCCAACTTTGACTTCCCCCACTTGTGGTTAGGGAAAAAAAAAAAAAACACAGAAAAGCGCCACCTTCTTATAAACCAAATGGATCAAAGTGAGGAGAAAAAAGTAGCGGCTTTCTAGACCGAAAAATACGGTACATTTGTAGCAGAGTGATGGTAGAATTCTTGCTGTTATTCGGTTATAATACTTTTCCAAATCGAACATTTCCTGAGTGACATCTGTTGTAAAGGTTTATAAAATTCAACTGAAATGCACAGGCCCCAGACATTCACTCATATGCTCTCCTACACAAAGGTGCAAACACAATTTTATCCCTGTTGGCAGCTTTGCAGCACAATCTGATGCAACCGTTTTAGTATTCAAAGGTCAGCTTTATTTACATGTTTCAAACTCAGCTGAATTGTTATATTTATACTAGTAGTAAAATGAAACATACCATTATGTATATTTCTAATACAATTTCTGATTAAGATAAAGTGAGCACTATAATGCAAAATGTATGATATATCTTTCAGTCTTGACTGAATCCAGTGGTAGTAGCAATATGCAGACAGAGTGACAGAATAAGAGATCAAGTCTGACACAGAGTGCACATAAAAAAGAATCAAAAGACAGAGGGAGAAAGTAGGAGAGTCCAAGCGTACCTTTGTACACATATGGCTTTCGGCATGTATGAGTGTGTGTGAGAGGGAGCCAGTTTTAGTGTGTGTCTTCTAAGGCCCCTGTTGATCATTTTGACACATGTCTGAGCATTTCTGTCACTTTAATGTCACTCTGGAAATTCTACAGATTAGTACAACATCCTTCATGGTGCTAGGCCGATCCACATCAACAGAACGTATGCAATATTAAACACTAATATTCCCCACAGCCTTTATGCTCTAATATTACAAAGACAGAAGAAAGGTCTTGAATATTCACTTGAAGAGATGGCATGGACAGGTTTAAAAGAAAAGTGCACACAAACATCAAAAGAAAAGAGCTCTTTGTAGGCAAATGCAGATATTATACAATGATGTGTTTCAGATAATCAAAGCTCCTACAGAGAATAGGTCACATTAAAAGATGTCCTCCCTACTTAAATCTGGTGCATCTCCCAGCTCAACAAAAGAAGTAAGAAAAAAGGAAAGAAACAGCTTGGGAGGATGGATTAATCTGAGGCCGATAAATATATGGAAGCAGGAAAGAGTCAAACAGAAAAGAATTAGATACATAGAAAGTGCAGACATAAAGAGTGGTACAGGGTGGGGGTTATACAAAACGTTTGAGTGAAACGAAGCAAAAGACAAACAGAGGGGAAAAAAGGGCTGATTAGAGATGCATGCTGGGGGAATGTCATTGTTCTAGTCGATTTGAGACATTATTTGAACAGCGACTCAGGAGAGAACGACAGAGTATGAGAGACAGAGAGTTATCAGTAAAGAAAAAAAGGATAAAGGTTGTACTGGGACCTAGAGAGTAGAGAGACAACTGTAGTCTATAAAAAGAAAGCATGAAAGATTTTTTTATATTAATACATAGGCACCTGTTTATGTCTGGGAACATTTTCCACGACAACTTATTTTTTATTTTTATTCTTTATTCAAACATGGGTGAATGGAGAATGATATTTGTTTTGCTTAAAAATAATCTGAGAAGTTTTTAGTTGTTTTCGGTGAAAATTGTAAATAGACAATGGTGTTCACTGGTTCCTCTATAAAACACTAAAAGCCAACCTAATGCACAGTCACTGGGGCATGAATGATGTAGAAGTAGTAAATAATGTAGGTTGTCCTGTGTGACAGTGTATCAAAGCAGACATTCCTGGATATTTCACTCGACCAATGGAAACTAAAGCTGAGATGATGGCAACTGCTAGTGACATAGGCTTTTTTATTTTTTAAAGAAACAACCATTCATGGATGGCAGTTTAGATCCGAACATGATTCAACGGGAAAAGACAGCAGTTTTTAATGACAAACTGATAATTCTGTGCGTTACTATAATATTGCTTAAATAGAACATATCAGGAATCAAGGATCTTTCTTTGTCTCCCTCGGGAGAACCTCTCCCCAGACAGGAAACAGCTTCACCGTATACAACATACAGTCCACAACAAACTGAAGTCAAATACAGACTAGGTTTTAATCAAATACCATATTTTTTTCCAGTAATAGGATTTAAAATATCTTAAAAAAAGTAAAGCTAAGCTTCATTAATGGACTTATGAAATAGAAAAATTGAATTTAATCTTAGTCAATACAATCTTGGAGAAACAAAAACATGCACACAATTGAAGGACTCAAGTGCTGCTAATGTTGTATTAATTGTATCCACCTCTACAGTTATTGGTCATGTGTTTCTTTTTTTCCAATTAATTTTCTGTTAATGATATCTAAGTTTTACTTTATTATTTATTTTAATTTTAGCCTGAATTGTCTGTCTAAAGTTTACAAGGAGAAATATTATCGCAGTGAAGGCCTGATCAGATCAAATACATTTCATCTAAACCGATTTGGTCTGAGTGGGAAAGAATTTTCACTTGTAAAAAGAGAGGTGTATTTCTCCAATCACTATTCTGATTGGCGTCCATGTCCTGACCCGTTCGGATCTTTGGAGTAAGATTATCTCCATTGTGCATGTGTGCAACGTTAGTGTTACGTTTTTCCACCTTTTTTCTGATAAATTAGACCGTTTCATGCATGTTTAATTGATGGAATCTGCTCAATCACTTGTTCATGTATAGACAATCTTTATCAGATGTAAGCATAGATTTTGAATTCCAATGAATCAAGATTTAGATTGGGACAGTGAAATTTTGCAGATGTTAACGTAACAATAGTGTACATTTTTACCCAAGTATTAGCTTGAGCTGAGGTAAATTAAATTAAGATTATACATCAAATGTGGAGTACAGATGCTCAGTCGGAGCTGCCTTCTCCAAACCTCTATATAACTTAAGAGGCTCTGATCTGTCACTGAATAGGTCACTTTACAGTTTGATTTTCTGTTAAAACCAGGTACTAACTGAGCTAAGCAAATAGAATTCTAACCTACCTAACTAGATATATTTTTAGCTTTCATAGTAGGTTTTAATAAAGGGGGGATAATGGCATTGTAAATCCATGACCTAAATCTGCTAAACAAAAAAGTTCAGCCAATTAGATTCCAAAACACCAAGGGGGAAAGTTCCTTTCTACGACAGTGCATGGGAAAGTAATTAAACTTTTATGCATTTTTATTGACATTATGTCATAAAACGGTTCAAGTACTCTGCAAACAACGAATAGTTGAGGTCTACAAAGAGCGATTAAAAAGCGCCCTCTTAATTTGCAGTCAAAACTTTTAAAAAACTAAGGGCAATAGTTTAAACATTTTTTAAGGATATGAAGAATTAAATTTGCGAGGGAAAAAAGAAGAAATTTATTTACATTTAAAAAAATCATGTATTTTGTTGTAATTCCTTAAAAGTTCCCCTGATGTTAAAAAGTGATTAATCAGAACCCTGAGAAGTTTTTGCCCACAGGGATTTTCTCTCTCTTTACATTTTGAGCCCTGCCGGATTTATACAGTAACCTCTACATGCTTTAAGATGCTTGGATCTAATTCAGACATTTATAGTTGCATCTAAACCCCCTGTTAAAGCATAAAAGTGTGATGGTTATGTATTTAAATAGGTGAGACTTTTCAAAATGAACTGAAGGTTTTTATCACAAATAGTTGTGTAGAGCGATGTCATATTGCATGTGAGGTCAGCTTTATCTATATGATATAATTATTGAGCAGTTGTTACTCACATTATTTCCCACGGTGTGGCTCTCAGGTAGACACAGACAGCGGTAAGGGGTCACACTGGTGTCACACTGATCTGCATGGCCGTGACACTCACATCTGTTCAGGGAAAAGTTGGGTCATGGTGTTAGAATAAATATAAAAAATAGTGAAAGTTACTTATGCAACGGAAATTAAAAATACGTTTTACAATGAAAAAAAAAATACAAAGACTAGAAAACCATTGATAGTGCAGACCCCTGCCAAGCAGCTAATTTTGCCCCTTATTATGACTTACACCTAAAACTAAAACTCACACATGATCTGGATTATTACCAAACTCAAATGATTTGTTTCCTTAGAATAGTATAAAATTCCTTAAAATTTGTTCATAAGTTTTAAAGTAATCCCGCTAACAGAAAAAAACAACAAACAAATATTTCTTAAAACATTAGCCAGAGACTTTAAACGTTTAGCCACAGAACAAAGGGTAACCATTAAAAGTTGTGGATTGTCCACAAGCCTAAATTTGCATGCCAACTGCAACTGTTTCTTCCATTCTGTGTGGCGAAAAACCCACTTCAAGAATATTACTGCCACCTAAAGCTGCAGTGAGATATGTATCATCTTATTCTAGTTCAATGCAATGTGATTTAAATTGAGTGCCTCTGCGATTTAGAAATTGTGTTTAGTTAAATTGCAATTATATTGTAAATGCAATTAATGCCGTGGGTAACAGATTTTTGTCAAACCTGAGTAATGATGCTGACGTTTATGGCATAAATATGGCCCATCCTCATATATTTCAAACACTAAAGACAAAATACACAGCACAGAATCTGGACTGATCAGGATTTTTAATGCCTCTACATTTTTCATTCTATCTCCTTCCCCTCCTGTTCTTGTATTTAGGATGCAAAGTTGTGCCTTTCATCTTTATGCTACAGTATGCTTTTTCGTGGAATATGTTTGGCCTGGAGTTGAATTATATTTTGTGAATAAATTCTCATATTTTGAATGGAAGTTGTTATGCCTTTACTCCATATGTGTGCAGTTACTGTTTGACCATGATTTGAGCTTGAGTCAAACTCTCATTTGTTGTCCTAAAACACAGCTGGTTGGGCATGTGTTCACAGAACAAATGACAGTCCAAAACTTATTTGATTAAATATAAAATAACATGAATGAATTTAATTGCGAAATATTTTTACGGTCTCCCATGTGTGGGCATTGAATAAAAACAGTCCACCATCATAAAGAACATGAGACAAAAAATCAAAGATTCAGTTAAATATTTCACCTTTTACTTTCAAAAGGAAACACATTTTAAATATCATTGAAAATCTTCACACCAGCAATCTGCTTAAGCAGATATCGCAATGTGCAAGTCTGTGCATCCCTAATAATATCACTTTTCATTCTCCTCCAATATTAATGTTTACATGCTTTACCAAAAGAAAAAAAAAATACGGAAGACGAATTAAACAGAAAGGAGTGACATGCATGAATGAAGATCGCACAGATGAGGTTTCAGCAGCATTAAATCTGTTTCTCCTACTTCACTGTAACAAGCTACTAATTAAAACAGCTTAGAGGGAGGGAGAAGGAGAGAAAGAAGATGATTGCCTCCTGCATAATCCTATAATTACCACAGTCATAAAAGACAGTCACTATGTCAGTCACAATGTCAGTGTAATGAAAAGATGTGTTCACAATTACTCTCAAAAAGCTCTGCTGAATCCCAACAGTCTGTGTGGAATATTTTTTTCTCAGCTGTGCTCACTCACTTCTTACAAATCGGTTCTCCAATGTTTCTTTTAACCAATTATGACATTTATATTGGCTTTGATATGATAAAAATGACGTAAATAATGAAAAATCCTGACTCTTTAAACTTTTTTATTTATTTTATTCTACAAATATTTTTTTTTCTAACAAGAGAATTTGGAACCAGAACTACCAAAATTGCTTTGCCACCCTCTAGAATATTTAAACAGCTATAGGACCCAGGTGCATTATCAGATCCACACTAAATTGTATGTGCTTCCTGATGACTGACTGTTTAACATATTGCAATGGCAAATTGAAAACATCTAAAGCCCACCCACCGCCACTCACTGAGGACAAAGTAACAAGTTCTGATGAAGATTGACCGCTAATGAAAGGCTTCAGATGTTATAAACTGGAAGAGACTAAAATCTCCATGAGATTTTGAGGACTTCTCGCTTGTGTTAAACTAAGCCTGATTGAACATAATATCAAAGGATGTAACACTGCCTAGAGGTGAGAAGCAGAGGTTGTGGGACAGGATTTCAGAACACCCATGATGGTGACTCATGCCATTACGGTGTGGAGGTAAGGGAGGTGTTTAACACTGCATGCAGCTTTAATGATATTTAGCATTTGGTCAACTCAATATTTATGTTTTTTTTTTAGTAGTTCTACAAATTAAAAGCTTAACTTTATCTGAAAGATCAGACACCTTCAAGAACATACTAAGACAGACAGTATATCTTCAAAGACTTTTACCTGCCACTGATTGTGATCTCACTTATGGCAAAGTGTCTGTGTCGCTGGTCGACTCCATCGGCTCCGGTGTGGTATTGTCCTTTCATATGTATTCTGACCTGGGAAGCTAGCACCATCTCTTGCAGGCCAGGAGTTTTATAGAAGTCATTATATCCTGGCCTCGGATGTGGCTGTGTGGTCAGGAGACTAAAGGTGATATTACCTCCTAAAAGTGGCACATCACTGGTGTACAAAAAAAAAAGAATTAGTGTAACAAAGTAGAAAAAAAACAAACAGTATTTATAGATGAAAGAATTAAAACACTATCTCAAAATCTGAATAAAAAAAAAATCCTCTCTGAAATTAGAGAAACACTGCTTTCCTGGTTTTCCTAAGTGCTACCAATTTCAACTTTTTATTTCAGGTCAAACTTGCCGATTCTGTTTTTTCATTCATTCCAAACTCGGCAAACTGATTTGTACATTCCCATTTCCTACAAATATATACACAAGGGATGTGAACGTTATCTCTTTTTTCTAGTTACAGAACAGCATTGCAGATAGTGGGCCAGTGTGAGAAAAATAAATCGAAGATGAACTTTTCGAACAGTAAATTATGAAAAATATGAATCTGGCTAAGTTTTATAGATCAAGTACTCGACATGGACATGTTTGTTGCACGCTGAATCAGAATTGGCTGCAATGCAAAAATCTTGTTTTCAAATTTGAAACATATTTTAGCTAAGAAAATTTATGCTATTTTAATTATTGTCTAACTTAATGGTCTACAGTCAAAGTCTCTTTTTTTAACGTTAAAATTGCTATCCTCATTCTTGCCACGGGTGGGACAAACACTTTCTCAGAAATCCAAACTTTTCTTTTGCAGATAAAATTTGGAGCAGCAAAGCAGACTGTGCACTCCTCTCCAGTCAAAACCCACTGCATGCAGAGAGCAGCGGAGGCCCATTGCATTAATTCAGACTCGTGTGTGATACAAATAATAATCCCAGTGGATGACTTGATAAATAAAAACCCTAACAAAACATATACAGCAGATTTTCCCACTTGCAGACCTTGTTGGTCTCTTTCATTTTTATCATAGATACTTTTCAGCTGTGAGTTTTGGAAATTATAAAAATAATCCTGAAAATTGCATTGTGTAATTGTTAATTTATTAATTCACATTTCATCATTAAGGTGCCTGGAAAGTGTCAATGATCCAAACAGCAAACATATTGAAAATTAAGGCACCAAAATTAATGCTATACAGACATGTTCTTCAAATCTTAGTCAATATAGTTTACCAACCTGGGCATTTGCTGGCAGTTGACAGAGTCTGGTCTTGGTAATGGTCCATTGTTTTGCATATCAAAAACATTGCAGTTTCTGGCCATATACTGCCAATCTAACCAGGATTGCTCTGTCATATCCATCTCCTGCTCAGAAAAAGGAAGCTTCTGTCTCTGAATCAAAACTGACTCAGGCAAAGGCCCCCGAAACTGCACTATAACGTAGAACACCTGATAAAGAGAGTGATAAAAATTACAGAAATTAGTGTACCTAGAAAGAGAATTGTGGAAACAGATTTGTACTCAGTTCTACTACTACAGTATGAAGCTCTAAAGATTTTCTGGATGCAAATCATCACACATTGCACCATCACATATTTTTGTAGTCTGCCCATGGCAAGGTGTTCAATGACATTTGTATAAATGCAGGCTGTGGAAGAACCACACTGCTGGTACTACTGGACCTTAGTGCAGCGTTTGGCACTGTTGATCACCTAGTATGGAAAATTGGTTGTGCTTTTCTGGTAAAGGTCTTTTTTTTCTGAGAGTGGGTAACTTTATACCAGGGACCACAAATGTTACATGTAGCGTTCCCCAAGGGTCCATCTGAGGTTCCTCCTATTAAATATCTTTATCGAGTAAAAAAAAAAATTATTTTCATTCTGAAGGTGTGGCAGCTTTTAATTTGCTGTGCAGTGCACCACAATCAATTATGTATAGCGGAAAAACTGAATGTGCTATATAAAAAAACTGGCCTTGGTTCAAGCTAGGGTTTAATTATTTCCAGAATTTTAAATCTGCACCTTATAGTTATAGTAATGAAATACTGCAACCTTTGTTGTGTGTTTTTGCACGTTAAAATTATCTATCTATCTATCTATCTATCTATCTATCTATCTATCTATATATATATATATATATATATATAAATATTTTAAGAACCAGACTTTCACTTCTAAAGCGACCCTGTACCCTTTGACAACAGTTGTACTCACCACAATGTATTTATTTTAGTACAAATGAAAGATGATTTTTTTTTTTTTTTTTTTTTATTCATATCCATGTAGAGAAGCTACTTTCTATCATGTCAAATGTAATAATGTTCATATTAAATGTCACTGCTTGGCTCCCATCGAAGTTTTTATTTCAAAGATTTACAGTAGACAATGCCACATTACTTGTATATTTTAGCAAACATAAGGATGTGAGTTCTATCACATATAACCTATGAGCACATTTGTGCGTATGAGTCTTATCTGCCACTCCAGCGGGCCGGGACTCTGGGTTACACAGCAGGGAGTACATTAAGCCACTAAGGCTGTGAAAACCCACTCACACACAAACTCAAATACCCCTGACTTCAGAAAGTGTCTTTTATGTTGAGTTTTGAGTTGAGCAGCCACATGAGGACAGCCTCTAAAATATTGCACCCCCTACAAACAAACGTTATGTCCTGGTATCCTTCCAGGGGCTTTCCATTGCCTTCCATTCATTTCCCTAACTCAAACCAACAACCTAACTTGCCAACACATACCAAACGTTGCACCTAACCTCAAATTAATTCATGCTTTAGTCCTAAATCTAACCCCAACCCAAGAAGAGAACTTCTCCTCATGGGGATCCATTTTTGGTTCCCACAAGTCCCCACTAAGTAGCATTTTCCTTGGAAACTGACCCCACAAGCAAAAAAAATACATAACCATGCACATAGGCCGTACACATACAAAAAAGAGGAGGACAGGGTCTTCTAATAACAATACCTTAATCCAATAGTTTGCCTGTATATTTTAATTCTCTGTCCCTCTGTATTTTAGCTATACAACAGAGAACTACTTTTTACATTAACACACAGAAATGTTGCATATAATGGTGTGATCCATTGTCGCTGATGTAACAGGAACTATGCCCCTCTGAAGACACACCCCTCTGGTGTAGGTTTTAAAACGACTAGCTTCCTGTATTAGCGGTGCTGTATTTGCCGGTGGCTCTGTGTTGCTGAAGGCTAGACAAAGCGCTTCCAGCTAAAGGCTACACTAAGTAAAAACCATCCCTCCGGAGAAGTCTGCACTCGCTGGACCGAGTCAGACTGCCTTTTTCTTTCTTCTTTTTTTTTTTATATACTCTAATAATCCCAGAGTGAAATTACTTCATTTAGCTGCATTTAACCCATCCCCTTGCGGAGCAGTGGGCTGCCATTGTGCGGCGCCCGGGGAGCAGTGTGGGGTTAAGGGTCTTGCTCAGGGAGCCTGAGTGACAGTCTGTGGGAGTGGGGGATCGACTAATAACATCAGGATTCAAAGCCCTATGCCCTAACCACTAGACCGGACACTCCCCCCATTTCCTGCGATTCAAATAGAGTTGAACAAAGTGTTCCTGAAGCCTGCTGCAGCAGAGACAGAGAAGAGCTAATCCAGCTCTGTTAACCGCCGAAAAACAGGGCCCTGATCGTTGTTCGCCGAAGGAGTCGTTAGAAGCCGCCGGACCACGACTGCCTATAACGGAGAGACGCAGAAGCACCAAGGAGGTGCTGTTGGAGACCGGGGCTACGAGCTAACTAGCATAGCTAAAGAGGGAGACGTCCCGTGCTACCGTGATTTATAAAAATAACCCTTTGCAAATCTCCTCTTATTATTGCATCGGATTTATCCAAATCTCTTTGAGCTGGTGTCGGATGAATGGACTAGACCTAAGACGGGTCTGCAGAAAACCATACTGAGCTGAGGGCCTTTATTCCACCGAACCAAATCAGTAACCTCATCCTTCCCCTCCTTTCCATCTGATGCTAAATAAGTGCTCGATAAACTAGGTAGAATAGAAAGTCGTGTTGGTGTTTTTATTTGAAATAAGCTTTCTGATTTAACTGCTGATGGTATTAAGAGTGAATGCTAATGCTCACTGCAGACTGAACAAGTCACGTGTTGCTGAAGCTAACTGCTCAATCGTGAGCTAACCATCCCATTGTTTCAGTTGGACCCGACCAGAACCAGAACCGTTAGTCCTTCTTGGTGGTATGCTGACATTACCCTGGATACCCCGGCTCTTGATACATCACAAAGACTTGCTGTCTTGGTCACAGATGTGCCAGCAATACGTGAACCAACAATTTGTTCTCTTTTGAACTCTGGAATGTCACCCATAATGTTGTGTGCATTGCAATACTTTGAGCAAAACTGTGCTCTTACCCTGCTACAGTAATTGGACCTTTACACTCTGCTCTTATTAGTTCAATGTGCAATTAATGAGATTGGCCACCAGGCTGGTCCAATTTAGCCATGAAACCTCTCACACTAAAATGAGAGGTGTTTCAGTTTCATCGTCCAACCCCTGTATCAGCTGTGTTCTCCCAATACGTAGCACTGCAGACTATCAATTTGCCTCTAAACATCAGTGCTGTGTAGGTTATTGGTTTAACTTTTTTAAACACTTTATTACCAATCTGTGCCATATACAGTACATGTCAAATTCTATTTAATAGTATAATTACATCAGTGTTTACTAATCACATTTCTGGGGTATGAACCTGTTCTGAAGTAAAATCCTGATCAGATTGAAATACTTGTACATAAAACGCAAACAAAGGATCTCCATTAAGATCCCATAACAGATGGTAGCTCTATTTTTTAAAGATTATCATGAAAATGATAATATCCAACAATAAAAGGCCTTCTTATATGACAGCAAAATGCATCCTAAGAGTACAAACTGGTGGTTCTGTGAAATGTCTCTAGACAAAACAAAAAATAAAGTGTTTTGGTTTCCAAACACATTAAACAGTCATATATGAGTTGCATTACCTGATATTGTCCATTAGCCAAATCCACTGTAATAGTGATTCCGTCATCTAGCTCCTGCAAACTCATGACCTTAGACAGCCACATGGTGCCCATATCTTGATCATTAATGTAACTAAGTGGATGAGCGTTGATGTTTAGTCTCAAGACCCTGTCATTAGTGGTGTCCTCAACAGCATTAGGAATACAGTATCTGTAGAGAAAGAATAATTAAAATCATAATTCTATTTTTGGACCCAAATTTCAACAATTTTTCTTCAGTTTATAAAACTAAAATAAAAAAAACTTTTAAAAGATTTTACTTCACTGAAAACAAATGTAGTAACACATGTAACCACAGTTAAATTTGCAAAAATAAATGGGCATTTTTGTGATTTGCATTTAATTTACGTATATAATGATTTGTTAATCTCTTTAAACACTCTAGATCAGGGGTCTTCAACGTTTTCCAGGCCAAGGACCCCCTCAAACTGATAGCGAGATCAAACGGGGATCACCTAATTATATATATTGTATGAAATTGTGTTATGTCTAACTGGTCCTATAGTCACTCTATTACAGATGGAGTAATGTAACAAAAGTAAATTCTCCCTGGGATTATTAAAGTATTTTTCATCAATGAGGATTCTGATTCCTCATTGATGGGACAGAGCTCCTGTGTGTCGCTGAATGTGCACATTAATAACTGAAAGACATCTTCTAGCTCCATTTATCTGTTTACCACAGTGTGTTAAAATCACGTTAACATATATTTAAAGACATTTCAACTAGTGGAAAAAATTGCAGGGGGACCCCATGCAGTACCTCTGTGGACCACCTAGGGGTCGTGGACCCCATGTTGAAGACCTCCGCTCTAGATATTAAATACAGCTGTTCTTAAAAAAACAGGAATATGCTTCCCGTTTTATCCAGAGAATTAGTGTAGTAAATGCATCTAATCACAAATGGCTCATTTTAACAATTTTTACAGTGCTAATTTGAGTTCAACTGAACAGATGATGTTGTACTTCACCTCTCAACTAATGGATGTACTCTGGGATGGCTGGAAGGACAGCGGCACTCAGAGTGGACATGCAGCTTTGGCATGACTCCGGAATACAACTGGACTATTTCTCTGTTAAAGCAGCAAACAGCAACATCAAACATTATTGAAGCACCAAGTTCTGCCCAAATTACATGAGATATGAATATGATATAATATGATCTTCACACTGATGCATATTTTCAAATTAATAAATGAAAAATTTTATAACAGATTGTTCAATAATCTGCTATAAATAAAACAATTACATAGGTGTGCCGCATTATTCTGCTACATTGCTACAAAAACAATCAGCACGCTAACTTGGGACTGATCATTTATGCTTAAAGAAGTAAAGAGAGAACCATGCTTAACTTGTGGGACAAAAAGTGAGGTTGTTGGTTACAGCAGAATTCCATGCATCCTCATCCAAATCAAACCATTTCCCAACTTGCCTCTATGACTACCATTCTTGCCTGCTCAGATGCATTTTAACTGTAAATAACTAAACCTTAGGCTCTTATTGAACGTCTTTCTTGAAAAGAGGCTTTGAACCTAAATTTTTGCACAAAATTTAGGAGAACATGTTGACTTATTATTATTAATTTTTTATAAAATAAGCTTGTGCCAACAGGGATCTAAACATGCAATGATTAGCTATTTTTAGGCCTTTGTTTTCCTTTCAGTACTGTATGTTTCTCCTTTACTTTTGTACCAAATATATTCATGATGAGTTAAAAAGATCAATTCAGCTGAATATTTTATCCCAGCAGATGTTTACAAAAAATCCCTATACAACTCACCTGTTGGTCAGTGTAGTAGGATAATATCTAAAGTCCTGCATCCGCCCAATGAACCGATTAGACCCTGCAGAGATAAAAGCAGAGTTAAATGGATCTAAAGAAGGTGTTAATGGGTTTCTTCCAGAATGCAGTTAGTGAGAGGATTTCACAGTATTTACTGTAGAAGATTATCTTATCAGTTTCTTAAAACCTGCCAACTAATGCTGCCGACTGCTGCCTATAATGGTGAAGATTTTAACACAAAGTCAAACAGGGTCTGCAACAGAGCTCAATTGTTTCCACTGGAGAGCAACAGGCCTTTGAGGGCAAATTGATTGGTGTAATAATGATAGTCTGATTTAAGCTGATTAAAGGACCATGAGGTATAATCATATATTTTTCTCAAGTCCATCTTGTGATTGTGACATAGACAACCAATTGGAGATAAATTTTTTTATATATAATGTTGGTTTGGAGAAAAAAAGGCAGCTGAAAATATTCAAGTCATTTTGTCTGAATAAATACAGACCATCAGTATCATCCACATTAATACAAAAAATGTAGTCAGTTTTTATTCAATATAAAAATTTTGTAAACTTTATGAATAACTGTCAGACCTTCTGATAAGAAGGTTTTGGATTTATCTTCAAAATAGCTGCAAAAGTACAAATACTGTACAACAAATACTGTGGGTAAATATATTCCCTTAAATAACATTTGTGCTATGGAAAAAATCCATGCAAATTAACATGCAAAAAATACAGGATTTGCAAAATATTATTTAGCTAAATCTGGTGTAAGTACAGTACAGACCAAAAGTTTGGACACACCTTCTCATTCAAAGAGTGGTAGATTGTAGATTCACACTGAAGGCATCAAAACTATGAATTAACACATATGGAATTATATACTTAACAAAAAAGTGTGAAAGAACTGGAAATATGTCTTATATTCTAGGTTCTTTAAAGTAGCCATCTTTTGCTTTGATTACTGCTTCGCACACTTTTGGCATTTGGCTTTCTGTATAAACCTCGATTATTAACAAACAGAAAAGTTTTAAAACTTTTTTTCCTAGATAAAATATTTGAAAAAAAAAACTAATATAATAATTTCATTACACAGATATTGATTGGAACAATGTTTTAAGATAAAAAAAAAACTAAGGCTACGTTCAAACTGCTGGCCTTAATGCGCAATTCAAATTTTTTTGTGAAATCCGATTTTTCAGTGATCTCCTGTGTGAACTGCATTCATACAACGCAAGTGTCCCGCATGCGCAGCAGAGGACGCAATGATATCACAAGCCAGCGAGCTCTGTGCTTAGGGAAGTAAACATGGATGGTTTTGCAAGAGCGCATCTAGCGATCTTTTCCAACCATAAAAACACAACCGTGGTTAAACATACCTGTAACTACTACTCTTAGTATTATCTTCTGTCATGTTTGTGGTTTTTCTTCCCCCTACTGCATAGCAAGATGCAGAATAGTGACCTTTGTCGGGTATTAATGTTGTTCAGGCCGGATGAATGCGACCTGGCCGTTCACACACAGGTCGCATTTAAAAAGATTATATTCAAATCGTATTCAGGACCCGTAGCCATGTGGCCTGGGTCGCATTGGAAAAAAATCTGATCTGTGTTATTCAGACTGCCATGAAAAGATCAGATACAGGATGCATATAGGCTAAGAAATTGGATTGGGTCACTTCAGGCTGCTGTGTGAACGTAGCTTAAGTGAGTACACTCCTGACATTCTCTGCTTCAGTATTCTCTGCTTCAGTATGTCAGAGTAAAGGGCTGTGTATACTCCAGCAACACTGTGTTGCAGTGAGCTTGTCGCAGGTATGACGCAAATAATTTTGATTTATGCTCAACTTTGTAGCATGATTTGCGCTGTGTTATCCCACACCACAACGCAAGAGGCAAAATCATTAACTAGCTAGGATTTTGGATGTTTATGTGTCAGTTTGACGAGCTTGTTCGCCGTCTACAACACCTCATCCAACACTGGACAACACACAGTTCACCCGTGAGTGTTCCCGAAAGACTGGCCGTGGTGCTACATGTTTTGGCTTCGGGTGCAAACCAACAGACCGTTGTACAAAACTGCAAGCTAATATACTGCACAGTGTTTAGGATAGTGTCCAAGGTGTGCCAGCTACTGCGGACAGCATTACAGCCAGAGTTTCAGCCATTAGGTACCAAACAGGAAATATGCATAGTGTATCTGCGTTAACTGCGACACACACACAGACGACCTGGTTTCTGAGCATAAACCAGGCTTAAATGTTCGCATTCATGGTTTCTGCAATGACCCATCCAGAGCTGGGAATCTCTAATGCTGCCCCAAACCATGACACTCCCAACATCATGCTAGGTTGTAGGCAAGACACACTTGTCTTTGTTCTACTTGCCTGTTTGCCACCTTAACACAATCTAAACTAAATTTGCCTTTCCTGCTCTACCAACAGGAAATGGCTCCAATTATCCATGCCTTTAGTCTTCTTGTCTTCAACAAACTGTTTTGGCTTTCTGGTGCATCATTCCGGGAAGAGGTTTTATTCTTGGGAGGCACTCATGCATATCCTATTAATGCAGTGTATACCATATGGTCTAAATATTGACAGATAGAATGGCATATTTTAAGTGTCCTCCCAAAAAAGATACAACAAAATAAAGAACAGAGAAAATAGAAAAAAAAATTCAAATTTCTATAAAATGCAAGATAAACACTTTTTCAAAGGATTGATTGTGCTGGAATACTTCAAACACAATGGAAAACTGTCTGGGTGCACATGGGGATACACCAGAGACTCTGTCATACTAAACAGTACAGTTAACTCACATCTCCACACTAAGCAATGCAAAAATGATAACTTGGGAGTAAGAGACCAACAGAGATGATGCTGGTGATGGTGGCCCTGAGAGGAACAAAGTCTTTTTCTGTTCAAACAACTTCCTTCTAGTTTGACTAAGTCTTAGGAACTGGATAACGTCTTTAAGCACTGACAGAACCCCTGCCATGTTAAGCCTGTAAAAGTGTGCATTTCTGTGTTAGTGGCTTTACCTTGTGGATTCCAAAAATTATCCTTGGTTTAGCACAAGAATGTGTGTAGTTTGTAAATGTGTGCCTTTATTTACACTTGAGAGAGTCTCTAGTTTGTGTGCCTATCCACTGTATACATGTGTGTGTTTTGGGTAATGTTTAGAGTGTGGCTTGTGCATGGAAAACAGAGAGAGTGTGAGCGAGTGTTCTGGGATGTAAGTGTGCAGCCTTAGGCTTTGGCTCAGGATTTCTTTAGTGTGTGGAAATGGGATTATATCTTCCACGGAAAAGCACTATCCCTATTGTTACTGGAATGATGCAAGGTATAAGCTCTAATTCCCTACTGTCTGTGTTGGTCTCTTCTTTCTGTGTGTTTTAAATTGATGGTATTCAATTGTGTCTTATTGTATTTTTTGTATATTGTTAAAAAACGAAGCAGCTCATATTGAAACATATATATTATATAACATATATAACATATATATATAACATAACATATTGAAAAGATATATCAGAAGATTGTTTATTCATTTAGTGCAAATTTTGCATCCGTCATTAAATGTTTTAATGACTAAGAGACAAAACTTAAGATGCACACTGTATGAGAGGCGTTTAAAAAAAATCTTTATGAAAATGTGATATCTGCTGGACTTTTCAGTAATAACTTACCATTTCTAATCGTGACCCTTTTACTTTATTCCTACCATACTAGTGAAAACCATTTTATACATTTTCTTCTTTAATGAGGGAAGGTTAAACCAAAACATAATTCCCATCATCACAGCAGCCCAAAATACAGTCTGCAGAGCTAACACGTGCTAATAAAGTGATAAAATGTGGATGATGCCCAAAAAATTGATCCCCAATGCTGACTTGACTGACCAGGTTTCCAGCCTTGAGAAAGATTTTCTAGGTCTTGTAAAAAGTTGTGACTTTATGGCCCTTTGAAGAGAAGGGTTGTTTGTGATATTCTATAGTGAGTGTTAAAATGAAGTTATCTTGCTTGTCTAAAGTAATTTCTTTCTGTTGTATTTTGAAATATTTTTAGCACTGTATATGCTGCTCAGTGTGAGTTTCAGTTTTTAGCTATATGATATTAAAAGTTAATATGTTCTCTAGAGTATAATGTTTTTGATATTATGCATATTATTTGAAAAAAAATTGCTTGCTGATCATGTTATGTCCCGAACTAATTTTACATTTACTGCATTTAACATTCTTCCAGTCAGTTCAGCGATCATTAACCTACCCAAATGCGTCTAGATTCAGTCAAAGAAATTCAAATTATTTGATTGACTGTGGTCGTGATCCAGGTTGAGTGTTAACAGTTTGCATATTCCACTCGCTCCATTCCCTCTCAACCCTGATGGGAATGTAGGTAGTAGATAAACCCTAGCCAAAAAAAGTATGATGTGTCCTGCACTTTAGTTGGAAAATCTGAAAAATTAGGGTTTAGGAAAAAATTAAAAAAAATTTTAAAAAGAAAATTAAAATTGTGAATTCTAGAAGGTCTGTTAAGAATAGGTATAACCCTCCCTTTGTCCGATTTGGGGATCAAAGGCAGTGAAAAGCTATGGATATCATACAGTATATTAAATGCATGGAAAATACAAAATATTACCCTTGAAAAATAATAGCTTTAAATCAGTGCATAAAAGTATCATCAATTCAAGTTCATCAATTCAATATATTGATTAGTCTTACTAAGTAAGAATGTTCAGCTAGCACTGATTGCTGCTTTCTGCCTTTAAATTACACTCCACTACCTTTGGGGTATAAGGCTCCTTCCTGACTACTTGTGTTTGGAAATTTCAATAAACAGGTACAAAATCAAAAACAGACATGGTTGTTAATCGATACAGCTGATCAGTATTTGCATAATTAATCTTCAGATCAGAATTCCAGGCACTCCCCTTGGGTTCAGCAACCTCCTTTTCTTACACACAAAGGATACAAACACACACACACTTGTGCCGCCCTGAGCCAATCACTTTCATTGATCAACCTTTCTGATGTGATCTTCAGCTGATCAGATGCTACCTGCTGTGAACTAGGAATCAATGACTGATGAACGAGAACAAAAACACTCGTTTATCACTCTAGAGTTAAACGGATATCATTTTTCTCTCCGTTTCTCTGCTATTGACTTTGAAATGGCTCATAGGCTTCATGAATCAATCACAGATATGTAGTTAAAAGAGGATAAAGGCCAGAAAGGAAAACTGAGGTGAAGTAATCATTGGCACCATATTAAGACGAACAGATCTGAAATTCTCTTGGGCAATTTATTTCCTGTATGACTACAAAGCAAAGAAGAAACATTAAGTATATGTTGAACATTGTCACTGGGAAAAAAAATTTCATATAAAATTCCATTTCAATTTTGGTTGGAGGGCAGTTAGGGAAGCACAGTACAGTGGCAGTAGTTGGCTAATGCAGAAAACCTCTTGCCCATTTCCCCTTTTAGGGCAAGGGTAATACGGAAGCAGCTTTTGAAACCTGGGTTACAGCAGTTTTGGTAGTTTTAATAACATGGAAGTGTACCAAAAGATTTAACTAAAGTACTGATATAAACATGTCTAAATATTAATAAGTTTCATTCGATTGAGAAGTAAAACTAAAATACAACCTATGTTTCGTTTGCTTTGAGTAGCTTATGTTTGGAGGTCAGTTCCTCTGCAACTCAGGTGGCATTACTTCATTGGTCCAAACAATGAACAGAGCCTCTAGCAACAATAATTTTGTCAATTGGTGGGGGCACTGTGTACAGCGGGTAAAATAATACCATTTATCTCAGTAAATATATTTCTAGAGGTGCCATCATCGTGACATTTTCACCATTTATCAGTTACAATCCATGCAATTTACACATACAAAGAAATCAAAGATGTCCACAAATTAAGTTATGTGTAATAAACAGCACATAGGCAGGTATAGCATCATAAAACATTTCATCTAACATTACTTCATCTCAATATCTATACTTCTGAAAGTTACTAAAAAAAATAGGATTTTTTTAATGAATGTTATCTATTGTATTATCTCTCTTTTGCAGCAGATTGCAGATGTATTGTTTTACTTGATTCCTTAGTCAAGTAATGATACCACAGTGTCCATGTGAGACATTGCAGTTGTTTAATTTTCATCTATATTTCTCAAAAGGAAATTAAGTGTGGTCACTTTCTGGGAACCATTTAAAACATGTTTACATGTCTCTTGTTTAGTTCTTTGCCCTGCATGATCAAGGCAAAAAAAGGGTGTTTTTTTTTTTTTAAACATTAGGGACTGATCCTAGAAATTGCACATTTCCAGGAGAAAACCCAAAGATCAACAAAGTCTTAAAACAGAAATTCTTACCATTGGAGCCAAGTCCCACCCACATGTCACCATACTCGTCGATATCAGAAAGTGGGCTCATCAGATGTTTTGTGTCAAACGGTGTTTGGTCATCTTCAAGTCCATCAAGAAAAAGATTTGCATGCCTGTCGTAGATCTGTAAATCAAAGTAATATTATATACATTAAATGCACACAACTTATTACTTCAAAAAATATTCACATTTGTGCATTTAACAGGAAACAAAAAATATAATCTCCAAACTACAAAAAAATAGGGCTCTTCATTTGCTACATAAATGTTAACCTTTCACCTGTCTGTCTTTAGAAGTCCAGTAAAGAGGCAACTGGAAAGATTCAATCATCATAAGTCAGCAGATCCTGATGGTGATCTGGTGCTGAAGAGTCTGGATACCCGTGCAGAGCAGCTCTGTAGAATTCTACAGCACCTCTTCAACATTAGTCTGACCAGGGCTGGACTGGGAGATTTTTTCAGGCCAGGAGTCAGTCATGTAACCAGGGCACCCTGACATGACTGATTTCTTAGGTAGTGAAATAAAATAGAGTTGGGATCGGTTTTGCTTTGAGAGAATCCAACCGAAAAATTAAACAAGCTTTTATCAACCAAAGAGTAAGTTTTTCTTATATATTTGAGTTCACTTTCAACTTTGACACACATCAAAACCAGGTAGAGGTACTGACTGGATGTAGAGAACAGTCTGGTATCAGCTGTTTCTCACAGAGCTATAGGAGCTCGTCAATAAGCTCAAACGTCTTGATGAAAACAAAGCAAACCAAATTAAGCCATTCATGTCACATTGTATTGTTTGGTGGTGTTCATGTCACTTGTAGAAAGGTTCTGTTTCTGTACCTTCTCCCAAATGCTCTACTTCTCCTGAAGCACCAGCAGAAGTCATGTCATTACCATCACCACCTTTGAATGGCAAACAAAAATGCAGCGGCTTTTTTTTGTCTCTCTCCCTCTCTATGCCGCCTTTCCTCTGTCTTTTACCACATTCTAAGACCGGGTCCATTGCTTCTTATCCTCACTTGCACCCCTCACTAGATACACACATCACAGCGGCAGCTGGCACCAGACACATGTCACACACCTCTTCCTCCACACACTGCTGTCTGTGTGGTTGATACGGACTGTTGGGGCAGTAGTTAAATGAAATAAACAAATTGTCTTTCCCTCTTCAAATGCTACTGGCCAAAGTGGCCTGGTCTGTCCCTCTCTCTGACAGGAACCCGCTGCTCCGGCAGACTTTAAAGTAAAGAAGAAAAAAAAAGGGAGAGACGGAGGGCCAGCAGGCCAATTCCAGGCCGGCGCTTCGGGAATACTCCCAATTCTCCCTATGGCCAGTCCGGGTACGAGTCCAACCCTGGATACAGTTCCAGTGATGAGTGAAGATGTTAAGAAGGATAGGTTTGCCACATAATATATATGTGGCAAACCTTCCCTCCTCTGTCGTGCTGTTGAAGGTAGCCTGCTGTGGCTAATGTATAACTACTACCTGTTAATGAAATGGGCTACAAGTGTCATGTCATGTCTGCCAACGACCAAAGTCTCAGCTAGGTGTGCTTCTGCTTATAAGTTAATGTTACGTTTAGCTTCATGTCAAGGTTCCACCACATAATACATCGCTGGGAATGTATTTCCCTTTTGAACATTTTTTAAAGGTTTTAATTTTCATTGCATTATTTAGGACTGTGACAAAGTAGTGTGTAAAAAAAGATTAAATTACCTGATTAGCAGTGTTGCTCAAGTCACTCGGTGTTTATTTTTATATATATTAACCAACCCTAGAATGATAGTTAGTGACAGTTCAAGTGTGAATGTCTTTAATGTAATATTTTTTACAGGATTTTTCCCAAAAAAGTCAAATAAATACTGCATAGAACATGTTGCCCAAGAAGTTGGAGTTCCAACAGTCCATGAATACAACATGGAATGGGACATATCTCAAGTGCTGCTGCAAGCTGAGAATCATGTTTTCCCACCCACTCCAGTCAGATTGGAGTAAAAATTTGAATGTGAAAAAAAAAAATATTTGAAAGTGTAAAAAAAAAAAATCCTGAATCTGAAAAGGGAATTTTAAACTAAAAAGAAAAGGGTTTGAATCTGAAAATATAAAATCTAAAAGTGCAATAAAGAAAACATTTTGACCGCTTTCTGAATGCACACTTTTTTTTCTTTTTAGTCTTTTTGTTTTGTCCCTAAAAACTGGTCCTGAAAAGAGGGGGTTTTATAATCAAGGTCGCCTATATTCGGGTCATTACGGTATATACTTCCACAGTTTGCCTAGTGGCGGCGGTAATGTTAAATGACGTAGTGTTGGGGATGTGCTCTCTGTACGCAAGTCTTTCTTTGTGCGTATGAGGAACAGACTGCAGAGCAACTAAGGGACAGAGGGGAGACTTACCAAAATAAAAGATGAAAGGACAAGACGGAAATGTAACTGTGGTCCAAACATTTACTCTCATAGTGGCGAATAGTGCTCTGGCATTAACTCACCAAATATAGATTCAATTGCAATTTAGGAGTACTGCTTGTTATTTCAGGCACTGCCGAAAACAGGCAAGCTTCATCTCATATTAGAGGTCCGATTGTTCAGCTCCACATTGCGTGCCTTGCTCTCAATCTGCAGGTTTACTAGTGGTTCCTAGAATCTCTAAAAGTAGAATTGGAGGCAGAGCTATTATGCATTAGGCTCCTCTTCTGTGGAACCAATTATCAGTCTTAGTCCATGAGGCAGACACCCTGTCTACTTTTAAGGCTAGACTTAAAACCGTCCTTTTTGATAACCCCCACATTTAGAGTGGCTCAGGTTATCCAAAGCTACTTTCTGTAGTTATGCTTAGACTGCTGGAGGACATAGGGACCACATTTCATAATTCAGCTTCCTTCTTTCTCTATTCTCCCATTCTGCAGTAATTGTTAGTTCCTGTATAGATTGCATAACTTTTGTCCATATAGCTTTTTCTTTCTGTTAGTTCAACCCCTAACTTTTTGCTCTACCTGCTTTTCCCGTCAGTAGTTTTCATCTGGTCTGTACAATGTTTGACAGCGGCAACATCATGGAGAAATATTAGCAGTTCTACTCCCATCAATACCTTTGTTTATAGACGTTGAAGTGTAGTGTTTCTTTTACTGTATGTGCTCTTTTTAATCCTTTGACATGGGAGCTCATCTTTGGCTTTGTCTTTCCTGGATGGGCTACCAGTGGAGCTAACAAACAGTTACATCTTGTATTTGTCTTTTTTTTGTCTGCTTCTCTCTCTTTAAACCCCAGTCACCCTCGGCAGATGGCTGCTCACAATGGGCCTGGTTCTAATGGAGGTTTTTTCCTGTCAACACTGAGTTTTTCCTCTCCAATTTCACTACATATATGCTAGATGTGAGGGATTGCTGTCGAGTCAATGAATTAATGCAGTAAGCTGGGGTATTTTTGGATAGAAAACTTATAGCCAGTCTGACTGTATGGTCTGTTTGAATTTTCCCTGTAAAATGACTTGATCTGACGTGTGGTAAACTGACAACAAAATTGTATTTAAGGTTAGGTTTGTGTGCTTGTGCTTCTTTAAATGTTTCTGAACAATATGTATACACATTTATGCTTATGTGTGAGCCAATCTTCAAGCTCATTTCCTATTAAGCAGAAAAAGTCACATGCTCTACTGCATGAGCTGCGAAATTGCTTTGTGTCTGACTAAAGTTCTTCGCTCCAGTCTTTTTCTCTTTTCCTTCTCAATCAGTTCATAAATGTGCAATAACATAATATGGTTGTCAACACTGTTAAAGTACTGTAGGAGCAGCTTCCTTTCACATCAAACACAGGACAAAGGAAGGGTACTTCTCTAAGAAGGAAGTCCACCACCTATACGATCATAAAACCTCCAACCAGAAAAAAAGCTTTAATGTGCTCAAGCTATCACTTCCTACAGACAAATCTCTAAACTCTACATTTGAGAAACTCACTGTGGGTGCACTGATAAATGTGACTCCCCCTGTTTCACTTGAATCCCCTTATTCCCCCTCATCAAATTCTCTTCTCCTCTGGAATATTCCACCTTCCTTTGTTCTTTCTCCTCATCATAAGGCCACTTGCTTACCTGACCTTACTCTCATTTTTCCACTTTTTTCACTCATTTAATTTTCAATTTTTTCATCTCCATTTTTATATTTTCTTCCAACTCAATGCACTACTTTTTCTAATCTTTGTTCTTGTCTTTCTCCCTTATGTTTATCTTGCCCTGTCGCTCTCACTTGTTGTCAGCTCTTTAGGGGAGTTGAAAAGGTGTGAGGAGGGAAATAAGTCCAAGTCAAAAAACGCCTTTAGGGGATGAAGGCAGGCCCCGACAAGTGTCTGCCTCTCAGAGGATAGTTAAGACGCTCTGACAGACACTTTCATGATGGCTGATTGAAGACTGGCAAGCGCATAAGAGCACAAGAAAGAGTTCTGGAGCGAATATGAAAAAAAGGAAAGAGAAAAGAGACAGGAGGGAGAAAATGAACAGTCAGAGCAAAGAGAGGGAGCTTGAGGGAGAGACCCTCTTTAAGAATCTCTGAGCCAGAGCTGCAAGGCTCTTGGGGAGATGTGAGGGACTTGTCAGGATTGATGTAAATGAATCCTGAAGTACTTCATCTTTCTTAGCCACCACGCACCCTTTGAAAATCTCCTTTGTTAGCTTTCACAAACACTTTCCTCCCATTTTTTTGTCTTTTCTTCTGTCCAGCATTTTTTAACTAAAATTCTCAGTTTAGTTTGGCCTTTTTTTTTCTGGAATAAAGAAGCTGTTTAAATAATGCAGTCAATTAAGTCTTATTAGTACTGTCTCAAATTAGTCAACAAAACATCAGAAAGTTTTTAATAGGGATCACATAAACCAACCAAAGAGTATCTAGTACAAAGAGATTTAAAAAAAGACATGAAACAAAAACAGTGCTAAACTTGTTTAACTGAGAAGTCAACACCAGACATTTCAAGCATTAACTGATCAGTATCAAGTCAAATACATCTAGACCAGGGGTGGCCAATTCCAGTTCCTGGGGGCTGGTGTCCTGCAATTTTTAGATTCACCCTAGTCCAACACACTTGAATCCAATGGCTGACTTATTTCCTCAGTATGCAGTCAGTTCCTCCAGAGTCAATGG